TCGTCACAAGGGTATAAGCTTCCTGTGTGGTCAATGTTTCCATAAATGGACTCCCTTTCTGACTTCTGCTTCTCTGGAAGCCAAGAGAACTAGGTAGATGACAGAGATGGATCACACACACTGGGAAGCCAAGCACGTAAGATTTACTAGGGTAATATCCTCAGGTGAAATAACAGCACATACATACATAAATCCATGGGCAGAAATACCACCCCAGCAACACAGTCAGACACCAAAGCAGCAGAAGGGCTCAGGAAGTGACTTTGGAAAGTTCTCGTGAAAATCAAAGCACAGCTTTGGTGCTCAGAGATTCAAACAGAAAACTATACAAAAACCAACCCATATATATATATATTATATATGTGTATATATATAAAATTGCAAAATAAAAGCCCAAGAGACTAACCATCCATCTGCATGTCAATGGCTCAAAAAGTGTTAGCATAGAGAAAGGCAAAACCATTTGTGGGAACAATGCACGATCCAGGGGGCCAGCATTTCAGTAGCAGGAAGAATATTTACATGGAACCCCTATTTGAAACCTCACAATACTAGGAAAAGCTAAACACAGACAATGTATGTACAAGGGAAGACAGTAAGTCATACTCTCGGATGACGATTGTCAGACACACACGTTTCACTGAAACCATCCACAGCTCTAGAGAACACTGCACTCCCTGTCTACACTGGGTTCCTGCTACCGTACACCCCAGCAGACCTTCCTAGGCTTCTGGACTGCTTGTTCGTTCTCCCCACCTTGACTCTTCCCAGGAGAGGGTGAACGCTGGGACTCAGCACATGTCACAGGATCATAGGAATTTAAAGGTGGGGGCAGTCCTGGGGTATCAAATAATCACCCACAAAGCGGGACCAATACGCATGAGTTGGAGCTGAAATGAAGGAATGGGGTAAATCTTCCCATCGTATAAGGGGTTGTGATGTTTTTCAAGAGTGACTCCTCTGTCCTTGGTCCAACTGTATCTTCCTTCTGATTCACATTAAAAAAGAAGGGCTGGCCTTTGGGCTTTAAAAAGTTACATAAGATGATTTTCTGGAAGGGAGAAGAGTTTAGGGTCTTCCTTTAGGTAGTCTACCACCATCCCCTAAACTCTGGCCTTGTCTACACTAGAGTTAAGGGAAGTGTTCTCTTACAGCACCCTGATGCTGAGTTCCTGATGAAGACTCCTGGTGTTTTCTCATGCTGAGGCTGACCCTAATTGCACCTGAATCTCTCCTGCATCAGCCAGGATCTTCCTCCATCTTTGGGCCTCAATTTCCTGTAGTGATGACCCAACTTTTGAAAAAATCTTGAAGGCAAGTGGCATCAAACATCACCTTGGCAAAGTCTTCTACCACCTAAGTATGCAAGCCATACATCCTTGTTTTTACTAACACCCCCAAGTGGAGGTTCTTCTTAAGTGTTCCCAGAAAGAGAAGCCTAGCTTCCAGGGAACTATCATCTAAAAATGTGAAAGGTGCTTTCTCCAATAAAGGACACTCTTTGTGGGTGAGTGCACTTCTCCAGAGAGAGGCAAAGGAGGTGGGTGTGCGTTGGTGACAGAGTTCTATGTGTGGGCTCTCATCTGTCACAAAAAAAAGTGTGCCACATCCAAATAGATAGGTTGGCTGGCTCAGGCTTTGGAACTAATTACACTGTCATGTATGCTTTCTTACATTATCGTGCAAGTGGAAGTGTGCACAGAGAGCAAGTGCGCATATTTTATGAACTTAAATGTCACCTCAGGCCTCTGCCTTCTTGAATTAATTCACCCTGGGGTTCTCACAGTAGGAACATGTATGGTGTCCTGTTAGGTTTTGAGTTGTGGGGTACAAAGGGCATAAGGTTATCTTCTCCCTCATCTCTTCTCAGACTCTTTGAGTTTTGTGGTCTTGGAGAGTTGAGGTGGGCTGTTTCTCTGTGCTCAGAGTCAGTTGCAACACTGTGCCAACCAACCAAGAGCTTCTGGAGACCCACACATGTAAAACAAGTAGGAGTGTTTTCTCGTCTGTTCAATAGTCAATAACTAATTACTCTCGGCCAAGAACTAGAATATAAAACTCACATGAAAAACCAAAACCAAAACCAAAACATGGCATACTGGTGTATGACGGGCTATCTCTATTCATAACTTTTTAGAAAAGTCCAAACATATTTAACCTTTTAGACTTCCAGAAGTGAATCATGCCTTTGGGTGAAGGGTTCTTTCAACCAAAGAAATGGATTTTCAACATTACTTCTCATGTTGACAAGAGCAGTGGCCCCCTGTTACCACAATGGCAACATCTGAATATTCATCTTGCCATATGGCCATCCCACAACGGACAGGATTTCAAGGCTCAGTCTACATGATTTGGTGACATAGGACAGTACTTTATAATGGGGTTCTTACTGTGAGAACTTAGTGCTCCTCGTTTAAATCCCTCAGGTCCTTTAAATAGGATGTCAGCTGTCCACAGAGGAAGAACCTCATTTTAGTTACAAGAGTGTTGATGGAGTAATTTTTATGCATACAAACTGGCTGAAGTAGGACAGTAACTTGGGTTACCTGCAGGCCAGGAGGCTCTGATGGAGCCCGACCTGGGTTTAGGCAGAGGGCTGCTCTTGGCGTGCTTTTTGTAGTTTGGGGGAAGTTCACATGGTATGGACGTTCCCTCCACATCACAACTGGCTACCAGCTTACCAGTGCATGAAGTCATCAGAGTCAAACTTGTTTCTCTGTAACTTCTCTTCTCCTTCCTCTCTGCCCCTTTTCCTGCCCACTTTCCCATGAAAACAGGTTCAGAAACCTCTCCACTCCCAGGTCAGCCAGACGCCATGTAGCAGATTGGATTAGATTTTTTTTTTAAATCCTTTTCTTTGACATATCCAAGCAACGTGAACATGTTGCTTATATATTCTAAACTCACAAATAACTCATTTGCTCCAGCCTGATAGCAAACTTCAGCTAACTATCATACAGAGCTAAAGAGATTTCATTTTATCCACCCTCATAGCCTGTGGTTTTGTTATTGCTTTTGGGGTTTTTTGGAGGGGCAGGGAGCGACTGCATATCTGTTTTCAACAGCAATCAGAGCACATCCTCTATCCTGGAGTTAAGCCCACCACATCCTCTGTAGACAGGGAAAGAAGAAAAATTGGTAGAATGGCTCCACACCTCTCCCAGCAATTCTATACCCAAACAAAATCGATCAGAAACTGTATACTAAGCATTAGCTCTTTGACTAGTTCCCTCTCCTGGTTGAACAATCTCTCTTAAGATACTTTATCTAAAGAATTTTATGGAAAGGAATTCTCAGATGGAAACTCACTACTTGGTATAGAAGATAATGGGGTGTGAGACAGGCCATCAAACCTGTTTCAGTATTGATATTTCAGAGAAGCATCCATATTTCTCAGGCTTCCCGCACAATCTCCACTCAGCCACCCAAGGGATTCTTTTCCAAGTAAGTCTATTCATAGCTCTACCTTGATGAAAAAACCCTCACTGGCTCCCAACTCTGTATGATAAAGTCCAGGTCCTCCATAGTTTCCACAAGTTTCCTTTTGCTCCAGCCCTGTCTACCTATGATGCAAACTGCCCCCTGCCTCATACTTTCTACTTGGCAATACTGCATTACTCCATGGAACACACTCCCAGGCCTTGGTGCATTTTCCTCTCTCACCATGGAATACCTTGCTGACTCTTTTGTTCTCCTGGAAAGCTCCTCTTTGTTTTGCAAACCTAATTCAGCCGTTGTTCCTTTCAGAAGGGTTTCTCTGGCCTCCACGGTAGTCAATCATACCTTTATACCACCTCCATACCCTTTCTCATTTGTAATTTATCTACATGCCTCCCAGACTCATGAAACTCTTGAACTGAAGAACTGAGTCCTGGCCTCATGCCTGTCCGGTGACCGAAACACAACGCACGATTTCTGAATACATGAGGGATGAACACATTGGTAAATGAGGTGTACTCGTGGCGGAAAGTCCAAGGATGATGCTCCAGCAAAGCCCCAGCATTTCCACCTAAGTGAGGCCTCACTGCCACGAAGGGATAAAGAGAATTTGCTGCATGCAGAATCGATGACACCATCTCTGAGCAACAATACTCACACACAAAAAAGTTGCACTCCTTCCTTCTCTCATTGTTCTTTGTCACTCACCACCCTAGTGACAATGATTGCTTTCTTTTAATGTCAGCATAATGCCTGATGCAAACTGGATGCTTAACAAGTATTATGAAAGGATGAATGAATGAATAAATGTGAAATCTATTTTTTAAGAAGGCGTCAAAGGATTGGCTTTTAAGGGCATTTCCCATATGACAGGTTTTTCTGAGGCATTTTTTTCTGCTGACCATTGGGGAGTCCATAATAAGACTTGACCCAAACAGGAAGCAGAGCAGAGAGAGAGGTCTGGGGCAGCAGTTAGGAATCTGCACTAAGTTTTCAGCATTGGGTTTTCCTTGGTCAAATGTCAGTTTCCTTCTTTCTCAAGACATAGCCAACTATGGATGGCATGTCCTGCCCCAATCAGAAGGCGCTTGCCTCTCCTTTTTCAGCGGTCCAAATGGGTATCACCACAGTCCACATTCACCAGGAACAGCATGTGCATCAATAAAGATGGACACAGGTAGTTTCCTACCTTCATTTCAAGTGAAGTGGAGACCAGTCACAGAAATGGTTCATAGACTGAAACAATCATCCGTAGGGATTAGCTATCAATAGAGCTATCAAGAGCAAGGGCTCGGGGCTCAAAATGACCTGAGTTCAAATCCAGACTCCAGATCTTTCTAAGCAAGTCAGTTATCCTTTTGGGGGTTCAGTTTCTCATCATAAAATGGGAATAATCTTATCCACCTCACGAGATTATTATGAGGATTAGTTGATAGCACATTTGAGAAGCCTGCACAGTGTCTATAGCTGGTAAGTGCTCAGAAATGGAAAACTATGATTAAGAACATTCAAAAATATTTTTTACAATAATTAGGACAAAAAGAAGAAATATTCTTTGAAGATGCTGTGCTTTAAAGAGGATGGATTGTCTAGGAGTCAACAATGCTTATTAACCAATGCCCCATGGAAGAATATAGGAAAATAGTGTTGGCATTTAAATGATACCTGTGGCTATTACCAGGACCCAGATGGACAGAGAGTGACAGGGTTGGGAACACCCAAACATTTCTCTGAGAACTGTGAAAAACTCATGCCTGATTCTCCTCTGTTAGAACCAGAGTAACTCAGAGTTGGAGCCTCAAAGGATAAAGGTGCCAAGAGTAAGATGATAGTTCTACTCTGTGAGCAAGTGCTCTTGGGTTTGAGAGAAGATCGTGGGACCCCTGACCGCTGGACAGGAGTGTGGCTGGTATAGCCACATCGAGACAGCATCTACCATGCTACTTTGATCCTCCTTGTACCCCTCAAAGCCCACAGAAGATTTAAATATCCCAAAATTTCAGCCCTAAGCATGAGACAACTTCTTCTTATGCTAAATTTGGTTTTAGTTTTGAAGCAGTTTGAGGTGTACAATACAAACAGGTCAAGTTGCTGGCCTCATATTGACTAAATGTCTCCAATCATCAGGCTTACGTGGCGTTCCCTTGTCTGTCAACTCTTACGACACTCCCATCCATTAGTCAAGAGGTTCCATGAAGAAAGCTCAGGGTTAGTGTTTGGGGAAGTACAAGCTAAGCCATCAGCCTTGGGGACACAGGTTAACTTCTTCTATTGTGGGGACAGGTCAATTTGTCTGGTTACTTTGAGCAGCTGGGCAGGGACCAAGGTGGAAAAGAGAAGCTTGTTTCTTAGTGTGGAGACAGCTCCATCAGCACAAGATGGGATTCCTGGGAAGAAACAGGCCTTATTCTGGGGAAGCCTCCACCTGTCTGATTTTTCTGAGCCTATTTCTGGCCTTCCTTCCCTGGGCTCAGATTGGAGGGCAGCACCCTAACAAAGGTGGCCCATGACTAGGCAGTGTAGTTAAGTAGAGAGAACTGGACTGGGGGCAGGAGGCCAGAACTTTAGGGCAGACTTGCCAGGAACGAGCTGTGTGACCTTTGGCAAGTCACCTGATTTCTCTGGAGTAACTGTAAAATGAGATCTCTAAGCCCCCTCTCCGAATATAATCCCGGGTCCCTTCCAGGGACAGAGCTGGGAGTAGGGAAGGGAAGATGGGGAGGGTGCACATGGGAGTCCCTGGTGCCACAAATCAGGACTCCACTTTCTCCTTCTTTTTGCTCTTTTTCAAGAAAGAGGGGGTTCGGAATTTCTTTTTCTTCTTTGAGGGAGACTTGGAAGGTGAGCCCTCTGGAGACATGGGGCCGCTGGTGACAGACTCGGTTTTGTCCTTAGAGGTATCAACATCCGTGTCAGCGTTGGTGGTCATCTGGCTCAAACCTCTGCTGAGGATTTCCTCTGCGGTCTGCTCTTCCTCCCTCCCATTGATCACCACCCCTTCTTGTTGGGTTGTTTCAGGTTCTGTGGTGGCTTTGCTTGTTTCTGTCTTCTTAGTACCTTCTAGAAAAAGATCAAAAGGCATGACTTTAATGATTTAATTCAGGTGAGAGTATCCAGCTGGGGTCAACAGAACCTCTTCTAGGCTATTTTATTTGGTAAGTCTACAGCTATAAGAGGGACATACTGACATGGTGTGGGGAGCAGGAGGGCTCTCAGAAACAAATGAGGGTTCTCATCCAAACCCTGTACCCCTTCCACATGGCCTGTCCTGGGAAGCACACCCTGGGCAGGGCAGTAACACAGTACTCTTGTCTACACATCTACAGATGCTGATGCCTGAGCATGGCAGGGGCCCAGCAGGGGCCCAGCAGGGACTCAGTTCAGAGAATTTCTAGGCATAGAACAAGGAAACACACACGAGAAGAGAAAGTGTTGGAAGGGGGAATGAATATCATATACACCTCAGAGGAAGCATCTAAAAATGTTGTAAGCAGCCCAGTTTTACTAGTAAAACTGGGGCAGAAATGAAACCCATTTCATTCTTATGCCAGTGAGGCACTTAGGAAAATACAGAGCATCATCCCAGGAGGCAGAGATGGGAAGGCAGAGGGAGGATGGAATTGAGTGGCATAGACCCCACGTTTCCATGATATAAGAGTTTTCCAAAAGGGGTCAGCCCATTCAAGTGACCACCTCTTTATTCTGTCTGAGGATTACCAGGTACCATGTTCAAGGACAGAGCTGTTTAGACCCCAGAAACAAACCTCTGTCCACTGTCACCTCACCCTTTCTCCATGAAACCTTTGAAATGCCTGGATAAAGAGGGAGGAGGGAAAGTTGTAAAAACACAGGTTTTGAAAAGTAAAGACCATCTGGTTCCTTCCTCTCCATCTCACAGCTAAAACTGAGCACAGTTGTGCAATGGTGGCAGCCTCTGCTCAGGACTTCCTGCCTAGCATTCTTCTCACCTCAAAGGGCTGAAAGATGTGTCAGTGTGTGATGTGTTAGTGAGAGTGTGTTGTGTGTACTCGTATATGAGTATGTGTGGTGTGAATGTGTAAGTGAGCTGTGGTGTGTATTGTGTTTGTGTGTATGTGAATGTGTGAGAGTGTATGTGTAAGTAGGTGAGATGTGTGTGTATATGGTATATGTGTGTGTGTGGGGGGTGTATACTGTGAGTGTGGTATGTTACTATAGTGACTCCTATTTTTCCCATTGCCTGGCCCATGTCCTGTCATTATCCAGCTACCAAGTTCTCCAGCATCCTGACTTCTACTGCCTTCTATTCCTGTGGCCATCACCTCACTGTGCTCCCAAATGCCACAAATGAGTCTGGACACAACTGTCTCTCTGTCCAACCTCTTCTTCCCACTTCTATTCCTACATCTATTTGGCCTCATTTACTTTCTGGTCCTTGGACCCCTCTCTGTCATCCCAACCTGTTTCCTACTGTCTGGAAGCTCTTTTTCTCTCCTCTCTGTGACCCCAAACTTCCCCTCATGTAATGAATCAGTTCGAATGTTTCAACTTCCTTAAAGACCTTGACTATCTCCATTCATACTTCTAGGTAGAATTTACCCCTCTGCCTTTTCTGCTTCCACTATATGAACTTTTATTGTAGCAACTGTGAAACTATCACAACCTGTTTTTCCATACCTATCTACTCCCCACCCCCCATCTCTAAACTGAAATAAAATAGGGAAAGACTGTGACTAATTATCTATGTAACTGGTTCCTAGAAGGTACTCAGAAAATGTCTGTGGAACTTATGAATGGTTGAATGCATGAGCTAATAAGTGAACATGTAAACAGATTTATTCTAACCAAGCTAATGACATAACCATATCCTCTTTCTTGCCTATCATAGCTTGAGTCTTCCAAGCTGAACTGGATCCACTTATGTAAAGACACCATTCTGAGTGCTGTCCTTTGTCTCCTGTACAGACTCCCCTGGTCCTCACTCTCATTTTCCTGGGGTCTTGAACTACCCATGGTTCTGCAACTTCAATCCAGGCATTCTGCAAATCCCAGGCTCTGGAACTTCAATCCTCATTGCAGTCACCTCTCTTGGAGAACACATTTGGATGCATTTCTAAACTTGATACTTGCTGTTCTCCCTTTAAGATGATTTGGGTACCTTGTCTAGAAGGCACCACAAGATGGGTTCCCACAACTCTGTCATTTGCTACCCTACTGGTGATGAGTGTCCCCATCCAACGGTGCCCTTCCTCCAAGACCTCATTCATATATCATAACCCACACCTGTTCTGCTGCTAACCTCATCCACAGCCCCTGGCATGTATCCTAGTTTAGAAAAGCAATGCTCATGTCCTTCTTGCCATGTATAAAATGAGGATCATCCCAGTGCATCCACTATGAGTTCAAAGAGCTCCCTCATTGTGAATTGTTTGGGGAGTAGTGGCAGCTAGAGGGGCCAGGTTCCCAACTGAGGTCACCACTCCCTCAACTATAGGGATGAAGACCACTGGAGGGTTCTATAGGCTGAGCAAAGGAGCAGTGGGGCAGGACTCCAGAAAGAAATGTATATTGGGCCTCTGGAAAGTCAATGACTGGCTCTGAGAGCCCACACCCTTTCTCTGTTAACAGCCCAGGAAAGTTAAAAAGTATTCTGGGAGGGACTCCAAAAACTAGGTACAGGTGGGAGCTCACACTCCAGCATCCTCTAAAAATCACTGATTTTTCCCTCCTGAGTGGGATGCATGGGGATCTGGGAATAGCGGACCTTTTGGGAGTGAGTGGAATGAGGCAAAGGCTTGGGAAATTGGGGGCTGTTCAAGAATGATGATCAGGAAGCTGTGGAAGAGAGAGAGGAATTGGGAGAGCATGTGTTTTGGGGCAAGATTGAACTCAGTACAGCTGGGTCCACTCCCAGAGCCTGTGAACTGGGGGACAAAGGACCAAAATGCATGTAGAGGCTAGAGGAGAAGAGAGGTTTCTGCAGGGAGACACTGAACTTGCCTGGACACTCTGCCTCTCAGATTTGATTTCTCAGTACCCACAGCCTCCAGTCACAGATTGTTTCTTGGTCTACCAATATCCCTGTGATGCTTAATTTTATGTGTCAAGGTGATTGAGTTAAAGAATACACAAATGACTGGTAAAACTTTATTTCTGGGTATATCCATAAAGGTGTTTCTGGAAGAAGTTAGTACAGACTCAGTAGATTGAGTGAAGACCTATCCTCATCAATGTGTTTGGGTGTCCTCCAATCTGCTTAGGGCTCAAACAGAACAAGAAGATGGAGGAAGGTGAACTTTCCCTCTCTTCTTGAGTTGGGGCATTCATCTTCTGTCCTCACACATTGGAGCTCCTGGTTCTCAAGCCTTTAGACTAAGGGTGAATTACACCACTGGTTTTCCTGGTTCACCAGGTTGTGGACACTCTATCACGGGACTTCTCAGCCTCTGTAATCATGTGAAGCGATTCCCTCATAAGTCTCCTTTTAGGAATATACATATGCCCTATTTGTTCTGTTTCTCTGGAGAATCCCAATACAGTCCCCTTCCAGGAATGCCCACTGCCCCCACCCCCAGCTTCCTGGCCTTCACCCCTGGATAGCCCACTCCAATCTTACCTGCCAGTCCAAGTACGAATCTCCCCAAAATCTGGCTCAAGCCGCACTGTATCTGTGCATCTCCTCCTGACATCTGGCAATAATATTTTCCTCTCTAAACCTACTGTTTTCTTTAAATAGTGTCTTATCATCCAAACAGACTATTGAGCACAGGAACTCTGTTTCTGACTCCTCCGACACTATTCTTGAGCCTTTTGCCAAGTGAGTTCAGATGCAGTTTCCTCAGGTAAGGTCTTCCTTCTCAGTGGCTAGCACTTCTGTGTCTGTACTTGGGAGTGTGGATGTGGGAAGGAGTATGGACCTGATGGACCTGACTTGCTAACATCTCAGGGTCAAAGACATGACCACTGGCCCAGCCCACAACTCAGTGAGGTCCTCTCTTTGCAGCAGGGCCTCTGCTGGAAGCGTGATTTGCTGACTTCCTTCTGGACTCAAGGTCAACCAGACTGATCATGACTTATATCCCAAATGCATGGAGCATTGATGACTGCCATGAACTGTTTCATTTTCCTTCTGAAAATGATGCTCTTCATCATCAACAGAGAAAACAAATGTTCATTAAGGGACTTGGGACAATGATCTGGGACCTATGGGGACACAGGACTGGGTGATTATGCAGCAAGTCACAAAGGCCCACAGGGTGCTCAAAGAACAGAGGAGGGGAGCAGCTGAGCAAAGAGAACTGCCTCATGGTGATCAATGAACCAGATGCTGGCCATGAAGAGAGGTTGGCGATAGCACTTTTTGTCTTGGTTTAAATTCTCAAACATCAGTGTCTGAAAGAATCACCTAGAGAACTTGTGAAAATGTAGCATCCCAGTCTTGTTTCCACAAAAGATTTTTGAAACAAAATCTTTTGAAATTTATGTGTGTGTATATAATTTAACACTGCAAATATATATATGCACACATATGTATATACAATATATAGTACATGTATATATAAAATATAGTATATGTAATATATATGTATATTTGCAATGTATATATATTTGCAATATATATATGCATATATATATGTGTGTGTGTGTGTTTAAATTTTTTGCAGTGTTGGGGATCAAACCCAAGGCCTCACAGAATGCTAGACAAGTACTCTATCCTGAGCTACGTACTCTGCCCATGAAATTTATATTTTTAGTAGGTCCTCAATTGGCCACACAATGGGCAATACAGGTTTAGAATGACACTTCTCCTCCCACATTTACCTCCCCAAAGGGAATATAGACGCTCTGTAATTCCCACCCACTCACCATGGTTGGGAAATAAAAGTTCCCTGAGTACCCAAATATACGTTCAGCGTGTGGTATAGCTGGTATGCAAATATGGCCCCTATGAATGATGTCTCAGGGTAGTCACATGCTGTAAAGTCTCTTTCCACACTGATCTAGGCTAGCCAGTGGCTCACCACAATCACTAGAATACAGAAGTGCTGCAGAGCCAGGTTCAGGCCAACAGCTTAGAAATGTCTGCTTTTGCAGTTTTAGAAGATCTAGGCCACTGTGTATACCGTCTGACTACCCTGATGGAGACATGAGGAGAGGCTGCATGCAGAGACCCTGAGATCACATGGAGAGACAAGGAGGGAGGGAAAGAGGAAGGGGAAGGAATGGGAAGGAGGAAGAGGAAGAATCCCAGCTGAGTCCAGCCTTTTGGCTGCCCCTGCCAAGGTGCCAGACATGAGTGTGCCATCTTGGAAGTTCTGGCCTAGTCAAGCTCCCAGCTGACTGCAGCCCCTGATGACATCTCATGAAGCAGAAGAACTATCAAGCTAAGTCCACTCAACTCCAGTCAATCCACAGAACTGATTTCCATAAAACTAGTTCTTCTTGTGTACCATGATTTGATAATTATCTAGCACTGCATAACTAGAGCTTAAAACATCAAGTGATGTATTAGTTCTCACAATTCAAAGATCATAGCGAGAGACAGTTCATGCAAGCACACTGCAGAGCATTTTCATATTCCTTAGCTCACTTTGTCCTGATAACGATGTAGTAAGTTGGGAAATCAAAGATTCAGGTGATTCCCCTATTCTGCAAGTGGTGGGTAAACAGTTATCACATTCATCACACACTCCTGCCCTCTCTCCTTTCTAGGAGCTGATAACAAATTGCCACCCTCTGTCCCACTCCTGCCACAAGCCTCCTCTCCAGCCCTATATTTCCTTTATGGTGTTGGTACAGATGTCCCAGTAGATAGATGCTAAACGCCCTGGACAGGACAGGTACCAGCACAACCCTATGAGGCAGTTGGCCCCCAAGAGCATCTAAGATATGGCTCACAGCCCTAGAAGAGGCCAGGGGCTCCTTATAGATGCCTGTACATTTAGGAGCAGGGAGGGGGGCTGAGCTCTAATGTGAGAGAGCAGCCTGAGCTGTGGAGCTGGTTGCTTCTGGATGTGTGTGGAGGTTGTGTTTGTGTCTCTGTGTGCCCTGTATATCCATGTCTCTTACAGGGAAGCCTAGTCTATGCATAGTGCAGGTGGAATCGGTCATGAATTCAACATCCAGGGAAACTCCTGAAGGCAGGATTGTGAATCGCAGGAGAAAAAATTGGGAGAAATATATTTCTTTAGAAAACTCCTCCCTCCCCCATTGCAAGTGTTGGAGTGAGTTAGTAAACAGCCTCTCTATACTTACTACAGAGACAAGTATTCAGAATCGGAGGAAACTCCTTTGATGAAGGCACAAATGGGAAGAGAAAGGAAGACATTGTGGAGACAGGTTGACAACACAACACCATGATGAGACACAATGCACACAAACAGTTGGGGCATCCACTTGGGATTCTTGCCTCAAGCAGATGGGTTTCCTCTGGTAATGCAGGGCGTGCACTCAAGGCTGTAGTTGGCTTATGGAGGGCACTCAGAGGTCGGGGGGATTCTCTCAGTCACATGTGTGGCCACTCCGCCCAGGAGGGAAAAGGTTTTAGCAAGCCATCGACTTGCTGCTCTCTGGATGGCAGTGCAGCCCTCTCTGGTGGGGTGTCTGGAGGACCCAGGGGAGGAGTATTCATGCCCCGTACTGATTACAGGATCTCATTAAAGACATATTTGTGATTTAGGTGGCTAGGAACTGTAACTACATCATTGTCCACCATATATATGTGTAGCTACATATATATATTCTCAATCATAATGATAATTCTCACATTTAAACCATTCTCTTTCAAAGCATGCATTCATCAACACTTCCTTTACACATATGAGGACTTTATAAAGGGGAAAAATTAATAGCCTCATTTAACAGACGAGGAAACTGAAGTGTGCAGAGAGATTATCTGATTTGCTAAAATTAGCAGTTCAGTTGGACCTCAAATTTAGTGACTCTCTAATGAAACTGTTCTCAACCTGGTCTACACTTTAGATCCCTCAGGAGAGATTTTACAACTCCAGGCTACACTTCCTTCCCACACCCCACCCCAGACCACTTAACTCAGAGATGCTGGGGGGGGTGGGCTCTAGGCAGCAGTAGCTCAAATGCCTCCCCCCCAGGTGATTCCAATGTGCAGTTAAGGTTGAGAATGACATCACCAGTTTCATCCTGGGAAATGCAGACTCTCAGGCCCCATCCCAGGCCTACTGGATCAGGACTTTCCTTTTAAAAGATCCTCAGGTGGCCCCAGGCATGTTAAAGTCTGCGAGCCAGGCTAGCACATCTGAAAAGGCTCACCACCCAGTGTGTCTTAGCTGGAGGTGAGGAGGCTGCAGGTCAATCATTGGTTCACCTCTGCTTGACAGGACGTGAGTTGTAAGTGTATTCTCACAGCTTGTGAGTGGAACAAATTGAAAATTGTTCAGTCTCCCCAGAAATAGCAGAGGGGAATGTTTTTCCAATGGAGGGTGTGGACCTGCCCTGCCTTCCACCCAGGCACTTTTCCCAGCTTCTCCCTCCTGGTGTGCTCAGCTCCACTCACCCTCTGCAGACTTGGAAGGAGAGACTGCAGGGCTCTTTGTCTCTGTCTCTGCTGGGCTTTGTGGTGGCGAAGCAGGTGCAGACTTTACAGGTGAGCCAGGTTCTTCTGTGGCAGCATCCTTCTCTCCTAAAAATATAGAAAACCACCTTAGCACAGAGGTCAAAAAGAGGTGAAATGGGGCAAGTGGCAGGGGAGAAAGAGAGACACAGAGAAAATGTAAAAGAGTGCTTTTTTCTACTTTGTCAGTTCTCCTGGCTGAAGTTGGCCAGTACTCCTAAGCTGCTGTTTTCCTTTCCTTTCTTTCTGCTACTTCCTCAGAGAAGCAATGGCTTCCCTCATCAAAGCACATCAACCAATGAACCATGTTACCCCTGTTGTGGATGGCAAGATAGCAGAACACCCACCCAGGCAGACCAGAGCCTGGCTTTCCTCTGTCCTGTCTCCAAAGAGGGCCAGCCAGACAAGCAAATCAATGGATGAGAGTGGAGCACCAAATAACCCCGACTCTCCTTAAAAACACCATGATTTGTTTGTATGCAGCTCATTTACTAGTTAACGTAGTTAATTTGCACTTTCTGTCCAAACAATAGGGACAAAAAGCACCATGTTTTTCTCTTTTTCCAATTGGTACATTAGAAATCTAAGCAAGCTGGAAGGGTTTTGTGTTGTGCCTAGGAAGATGGCTGGCCCTGGATGGGGAGAGGTGGTAGAGGGAGACCCTGCCCGAGGGAACAACAGCTTACCCTAGTGGATACAACTGAAGTTGAATTGTAAATCTCTGACCCCAGGTGCTCTGAAAGCAAGAAGGGACAGCTCAACTTGGGTGGAGTGGGGAGGGTGATGGGGAGGCCTTCCTGACTGGAAGGGGATTTGAGGTGGAGCCTAAAGTATTGATGACTTTGGATCAGGCTAGCTGAGAAGGGAAACAGTGCCAGGAAGGGTCAAAAGCATGAACCAGGTTGTCAAGGTACCATGGGTATGAACATTTGGAAGTCAACATGGAGAGACCAGATGACTAAACACGCTGAAATAAAGGAGGAGTGAGAACAGACATAAAGGTGTCAGATAGTGGAGAATTCTGACTGCCAGACTGAAAGGTTTACACCAGAACCAGTAGGTCACTAATACTAATTATAACTACTCTGCCTATCTTATTACAGTTGACATTTATCTGGTGTTTACCAACCTAAGCCAAAATTATAGGCACTTTTCTAGCACTTTGCAAATATTAATTCCTTTACACCAAGGTGGGAGAGTCAGATGAGCACAGTGTAACTGTTAGCTACAGAGCAATGAAGGACATTATTGTATTAGTATTCTGCTGATGGGAATCTTATTTGGTGATGGGCAGGAAGGTCCTTGCTGGGTAATCTGAGCCTCCCCTCAGATTCTGAAGTCATGATACCCTAGGGTTCTTTACCGTCCAATTCTAGTTTCTTCCTCTCCACCTCTTTCTTGTACTCCTCAAGTTCCCAGTCGGTGAGTTGGCTGAAGGGGTTTGGCACCGTCTCTTCTGAATCATCTTTGGTATCTGCATCACCCTTGGACATCAGCTGGCTCTCTGTAGACTGAAAGTTAACCACAGAGTATGTGTCGCTCTCTGAATGCCGCGGTGGGGGCCCAGGCCCAAGCTTCCTTTCAGACTCAGGTGGCTGCCAGCAATCTTGTAGGGATAGCGTGGCATGCAGCTCCTTGAAAACAGCTCAGGGCCTTGGGGTAGGGCTTGTTCATTCCTCCCCACTGTTACCTCATTCCCAGACCCAGATTTTGCAACTGCCTGGATGAATGCAGGGAGTCCACCATTTGCCCCCGAAATAAAACTGAAGGATGCGCCCAAGCAGAAGGAAGACACAGCTTTATTGCAAACCCTTCTGTGGACACTTCCAAGCCATTACTATGCAAATACAATTGGTGGCCCAAAGTCAGTCAGCCAAAGCCCAGCAAGCACAGCATTAGCTCGAGCAAGCTTCATGCCAGTTATCCCCACTCCCACTGCCCCAACAGCAGAGCAAACCACAACACCCAGCATAAGTCATATGCAAACAGCAGCTTCAGCGTTCTCAGTCCAAGCCATTAGTCCTGTTTTGCAGTCATAAATGATAAATGGGCAAAGTCCCGAGTCTCAGGTCTTCAACCCTCCTGTTCTACGGGTCCTTGTAGGGATACTGGCAGAATCACTCCAATTCACCACATTTGTGGGCCCCTGGCTCTGGGGAGCTGACCAGCTGCACACTGTTTAAGCTGCAGGAATCCTCTGACACCTCTAGCCTAAGGTAGTAACTAAAGTTCAGACTCTATAGCCCCTTTTCCTAAGTTAGCATCCTCATTTTTTTTTGGTGGTGGTTGTGGGATGTGAACTCAGGGCCTTGTGCTTGCTAAGCAAGGCTCTAGCACTTGAGTCATTCTACCAGCCCCTGCATCCCCCTTTTTGACTTTAGTTATTTTTCAGATAGGGTCTTGCACTTTTTGCCCAGGATGGCCTGGAATGGCAATCCTCCTACCTATGCTTCCTGTGTACAAGCATGTGCCACCATGCCCTTCCCAGCACCCTCATCTTGGCATTGGGGAATGCAATGCTTTGAAGCTGAGGGTTAGAAAGGAAAGCGAAACAAGGGGAGATGACCCCGGAGTGGCCAGATCTTCTGACGACAGGCCTGCTGTGTCCTTTCAAAAGGGAGGCAGCAGCAAGCCTATCGCAGGAATCATGGAGTCAAAGGAGGATCCAAAACCAAGATCCTAGGAGAGGGACTCTGAGGACAGCACTTGGCATAAATGACCGAGCTGGTTTTTGACAATTTTGCTCACTGTATTGACCTTTCACCCTCCCTTCCCCAAAATCATGGGCTAATTATATCCTGTGGCGTATTCAGTGTTCCTTGTCTTGGTGAATTGGGATGGTTAGGAGGCAGATGTGAGGGTGTAATGTTTGCACTTCTCTTGAAAGGGGGCTCCCACTCTGTGGGCTGCAGCCCCATCTGAAACCATTGCATCATCTCAATTTGCTCCACAAAGTGGAACATTTCCTGTACTCCCGACTTTTTACTGCTAAGGAAGACATCATGCCCGTTCCTACCTTGCTGTGAGCAGCAATGACTTCAAACACAGCCCAAATTCTGAACTTCACTCCTGACATTAAGCAGTAGACAAGACACCTTTCTATCTCAAGCATGAAAACAATAACTTTATGCTTTCTAACACTAAGTGGGCTTGTGTGGGCAGCTAAGTGCCTCCTATAGGAGCATTGGTCCTGTCTGCATGCCCTGTTTGTGTAGAGCTCTGCTCAGACGACACAATATCCACATGCAGAGGTCAGAAACACTCAGGGGCAGGCAGTCCTGGTGCACCTGGGAGAACAGCCCTCGGAAGGGCACTAATACTCCAAGTGGAGTTTCACAGCGGAAGGTATGGAGCACTCCCAGGAGCAGCTGGGTTGCTGCTCCCTGTCCGGTACCCATGGGAGAGACTACATATTGTCCTCCCCAAACTTTGCAGCCCCCCCTGGGAGGCGGACCTCTGTTTTGTAGCAGGAGCCCCATTGCCTAAGATCATAAGGGAGGGTGAGCATGAAGACTCAAGGTTCCTGTTGCCCAGCCCCAGGAATGGGAGACCCAGAAGGCAAAGATGTGTCCCCGCCAGCCAGGGACAGTCTCTGCTGTACCGGGCTTCGGCTCTTCTCAGCAATGACGCTCGCCAGGAGCTGGGATTGAGGACCTGCAGACTTCACATCTTGTCGGTTTTGTTCTCGAATCTGTGTGGAAAAGGGGAGAGGGAGGGTTGAGCATCAGAGGGTGAGGGCACATGCTGGGGTCCAGTGTGGTCTTTGGCTAAGGTCTTGAAAGATCCTCCAGTGCTGGGGCAGACACAATCTGTCTACCCTCAGAGATGGTCTCCATGTTTCTTCCCGAGTGATTCATAGTTCGTGCAAAACACAAGATTTTCTTTAACTCTGAGAAGTGGTTGTAAGAAGGGAAAAGGAGGCACAGCAGATCCTTGAGGGAGGGTCTCAAACTTTAATACTTTTAAGAAGCCCCTGAGATGTAGGCCACATCTACTGAATCTGGGTTTGAGGAGGAGTGTGGGAGCAGTGACCTCAGAATTTGAAACAAGTGTTGGCAGGAGCCTAGGCCATGCACTAAGCACTGTGCTAGGAGCCACTGGCCTATCGGAGGTGGTCTGCTGCAACTTGAGTTCTTACAGTTCCATTAGAAATATAGAGGAGTGAACTGTTGGGCAAAATCCAGAAATAAATACAACGGATCTTGAAATCTCAAAAATAAGCCAAAGAAAAATGAGAAAGAATTCATGGAAGTTCATTTTTGTGGCCAGGTCTTTCAGACATACCTAATGTGTATAGCAAGCACCCCACTGTAAAAAGGGGTGAGCGAGGACTGTGTAAGTCCAGCACTCAGCACAGTGTCTGGCACATGGTTCTCACACAGTGGTTTCTTTCTCCTGGGATGCATTGGGGAGTGTTGGTGAGTCAGGCACCTCCCAGGAACTGGCTTGTTTTTGCCAGGACTTGAGATCCCCTTAGGGAAGAAGAGCGTGAGACAAGCAGCCACCACCTTACCTTGTTCCTCATGTCCAGCACTTCTTGGGGGTCAGTGTAGAGAGGCACAAATTGGTTTGGGTTTTCGATCCGTATTGGCATGCCACTGCTGGATTTCTCTACCTCATCAGCCTTCATCCACTGCACAATGCAAAGCCAGGTGGGTAAAGAAAGGACTAAGGCCTGCGGCCTCTCCAGTGATCCACCCCTTGAGGTCTGGGCCCACAAGCATAGGTAGAAGGTCAGCAAGACTATTCAGAGATGTTCTCTCTTCTTGGGCCCCTTTGATATCTGTCTTCCAGAGTAGAGATGGGTGACAGATGACCCAGCTGCCAAAGAAGGCTCTCAGGTCATCAAGAGCACTGGAGAGCAGCGGTGGGAACTCTGATGACCAGCCACTTGGGCTTCAGTATCAGATAACTTGATTTGAGTTTCAAGGGCTTCATATTGTTTCATAGAGGGCCATTCTGTTTGGCTGCCAGCTACTTCTATGTTAATGAAAAATCAAATTGAGTGTGAGAGAGGAAGAGGAAGGAAGAGCAGGAAGATAACTTAATTATCTTGCCTTCCTTCTGCGAAGGAAGTGCCCATCTTGCCTTCCTTCTGGGTTGGCAACCCAAATGTTGGATGCTCATCCCAGGAATTTCCCAGAAACCCCCTCTGGACGTAGGAGCAAGAAGCAAAAACCAACTTCTCCTGGGTCTTGTGCTTAAGGCAGTGGCACAGTCTGGCTTCCTTCTGGAGAAATCTGCCCCAAAACCTCAGCACAGAGGAGCAAGAAAGAGGTGGTCAGATGCTCAGGGAGGCTGAGCAACTGTTCTCAGGGGCCCAATAGGAAGTAATAGAGGAAACTGCATGACCTCAGGCACAGGGGAGATTTGTCCTGTTCCCCTTGCAAAGCTACTTATCCCCTCAAACACAGCACACCCCTCTCCCCCAGGCCTGTCCTGGCCTCCCCCTTACTGTGGTCTTGGGTCGGGAGCTGCCCATGCTTCTCTGGACCTCATCGGCCACATTGACCCGCAGGTAGGTGTTGGGTGTGTTAAGCCAGCGGGTCTTCTCCTTCTGCTGCTTCTGGGCATGCTGTCGGAGGGTGGGGACAGGGCCACCATCCTCTTCAAACACGAAGGCTGTGACCGTGGCTGGGATTTCCACTTCACTTTTGTGTTTGGTTTTCTCTTGGACAAAGGGGTGGCGGTATGTGTAGCCTGTTCTATAGCCCTAAAAAGGACACAAATAGAACCATTTGTTGTGGAGGAAACACACGTATACATGCATGTGTGCACAGCACTCGCTCTTCGTCCCCTTCCATTTAAAGGACTCGGGTCTAAGCCCAAATATCCATCAGACAACACAGCCCTTGCTGCAGGCACTCCCAGTGTATTTCAGCACTGCTCCCTCCTCCAAGCCCTCTATCAAGACTGAGAGAACCCCTAGAACCTTGTGGTCATACCACAAGAAGAAACTTGGGGTACTTCTTCTCCACACAGAGCTCTGAACCACATCTGTTGGTCCAGTGGGACTTAGCACTGGCAGTATTGGAATCATGAGGGGAGCTTTAAAAAATGCTGACACTTGGACCCCACTTCAGAGTCGTTCACTTAATCAGACAATGATGTGTGGCCAGGGCTTGTTAGAAGTAGCCCAACTGATTTTAACAGTCACTTTCCCTTCCTTGACACGAAGCTTCTTAACTATTTCTGTCCTAGACCCCTGAGATCTGACTCCAGTACAGCATTATCTCCTAAGCAAGACCAGGTCCATAAAGACAGAGCCAACTACAGATCAGTGAGAAGACCTGGGAATTTTGGCACCTGCCAGAGCAATACTCAGTCCTCCGTGTTTTCTTCTTATTTTATTTTTTAAACTAAAACGGCATTAGGTATTTTTCTGATTGTAAAGAAAATGCAGACACATGTAGAAAATTAAGCCATACAGAAAAACATTTTGGAAAAAGCAAATGTGAACAAAATCTCACCTCCAGAGATAACTACCAAAAAATCTTCTTGGTCATCTCTGTGTTGACATATGCGTGTGCACATATGTTTGACTATTAGTAAAAACATAACTGTAGACTTGTGCACACAGTGGCCATCTGACTCGCTGCCTTTGTAAACTGTATTTATCAGCCTGTTTTTCTACTGAGATGTTTTTCTTTTTCACGTTAAGAATATTATTAATCATTGGCTGTCAACTGATGTTGCAAATATTTCTTTTCGCATTGTTTATGATGGGGGAATGGTTTATAGAAATGCAAGTTCTGAATTTTTAATGTAATCATATCCTCAATATTTATCATCCTAATTCATACTTTCTGTTAAACCATGCTTGATAAGGTCTCTTCAACACAGTATCACAAATATAAATCTATATTGTCAATAACTGTGAGTTAACCTTATGTTTAAATTTTTGATAACTCAGGATTTTGTCTTGAAAGGAATAAGGCAGCAGTTTGCCTTAGTTTTCTTTCTCAAGTGGCCAGAAGTCTATCTTTTCCTTGCTGATTTATAAGTGTCTGCTTATTCTGTGTGAATTCTCCTATATTTTGGGTCTATTTCTGGATTCTCTCAGCTGTTTGATGGGTTTGCTTTTCCATACTGCTAGTGCCACACTGTTTAATTATGAAAGCTTTATCACTCTTCACCACTAGGTAGAACTTACTTAAATACTTTCTCCTTTTAGCATTTTCCTAGCCATTCCGAATTTCATGTTGTAAGTATATTTTGTTAAGTCTTTGTAGCTTCCCTTGTTTTAGAGAGAATTATGTTAAGTTTAGATTGATTTTAGCGATGTGGCCTCTTTCCCTTATTGAAGCTTTCTAAACAAGAATAAATTATAGCTCCTTACTGATTTCAAGTTTTCTCCGATGTCTATTGGTAAAGTTTTATGGTCTCCTTTAAATGAGGTCTGATTAATGTTTATGATTTTGCTGCACTTACAAATAGGATTATTTTCTCTTACTATTTATTATTATTACTATTGTTATTATTATTCAGTGCTGGGAATCAAACCCAGGGCCTCATGCATCATGCATGTAAGACAAGTGCTCTACTACTAGAAGTCATGCTCCTAGCTCCCGTTACATTTTCAAAGTAGTTAATATTAAGATACAAAACCCACTGGTTTTGTATATATTTTTATAATTGGCTGCCTTAAAATAACTGCATTGCTTCTAATGTTTTTCAGCTGATTTTTTGGACTTTATAGGCATGTTAACCATATTATTTATAAACAGTAGTAACTTTCCTTTACTAAGTTTATACATCTTATTTTTACATCTCTCTGCCTAGGATTGAGTTGCAATATTATTCCAGAACAATATTAAATAACTGTGCTAAGAGCAGGAATCATTGTTTCATTTTAAAGTTTAATGGAAATATTTCTAGTGTTCTGCCATGATACTGGCTCTTGTTTTGAGAAAAATTATTTTAATCGTGTTAAATAAGTCTCTTTCTATTCTAGTTGATAGCTTTGTAAAAATTTTTTATCAACTATCTCTTGATATTTGTTAAAATGATAGAAAAATTTTATCCTTTGACTCTTCATAAATTATGAGATATATCTAAAGATTTAGAATATTAAGTCATACTTGAATTCTAGGAAGAAGCCCTCAGTTAGTTATGGTGTATCATTATACTAATGTTATGTGATACTCTTTGCTAGTTTTTATTTTTCACCAACATTCAAAGTAGATAGGTCTGAATGTACTGTAATTGCTATGGCATAGTATCTTTCATTCTTCTCTGAAACAGTGTAAATAGCATTAGAATTGTCTGTTTCTTAAAAGTTTGAAAGAAGACTTGGTCACTGGTGCTTTATTTAGGCTTGGCTCTCACAGCACACAGATGGGAATGGGAGTTGCATTTTCACTGTGTGTTGCTGCTTTCATTTTTATAAAGTGGCCCTCATGGTTGGTCTGGTAATAAGGTAAATATATCTTGGAAGAACAGAAAGCAGAGAAAAAGTATTAATTATCATGTCAATGACTGTGAGATAATAAAGGGGGGTCCAAGGCAGTAGTAGCAAGGATGGGGAAAATGAGTCAGACAGAAATGTTATGAAGATAGATTTCATCTTTCACTTCTTTAAGCAATCAATCATCTTGCTACAACTAGCTGCTTATTGTATAAGCTTCTATCTTATTCTTGAATCGTCCCCAGTTTATATCCTATGTCATCAACTAAATTATTAGTCCCTGGAAGAAGGAAAAATGTCTAAAAATGTTTTGGTATCCTTTAATAGACCAGCCTACTTTGGACACATACCAGTTTAACTCCTTATATGATTGATAAATTGGTTCATTTGCTCATTACAATAGGATATTATTATAAAGACACTTCCCAGGAATAAGGAAATTAGTGGTATTATGTGCTTTCTGCATTAAATTTATGAGATTAGAAAGAAAGGCAGGACTAAGTACACAAGAAGTATGAACTAAGCCCCAATATAAGAGAGGCTCAGACTATAAGAAGAGGTGTTCTGATTTCTATTGGATTACTACTTCTCATAGACCACCCTACAGAGATGAGGACACCCACAGTACTTAGTAGGGGATGGCAAAGGCCACCATTTAAGAAAACTCAACTACTATTATAATGACTATACATTCTACATCAAATTGCCTATCAATGAGACCTTTAACAACTTAACTGTGACACTGGCAGTTTTTGTGCCCCCCCTAATGCCTTGTATCGCCTGGTTCTGGGGGCCTACCTTCCATATACTAGCTTGGAAGGACAGTGGCAGGGACTTACCAAATTGTCCAGCATCCTCATGAGGGCCTCAAACTCATGCTCCCCTAGTCGGCTCTTCTGCATGGGCCCGAAGGTGCTCCCAGCCCACTGCACAGAACCCACCTCGTGGGGCCGGTGCTTCTCCTGCTCCAGGAGGATGAGGTTCTCCACTCCTCCGGCACTGGACAGGGCTGACACCTGCAGTGAGGAGCAGAGAGCCCTTAGCCCATGTGCATGGGGTCTTGCCTATGCATCTGTGCAAAATAGGACAGTAGGGGACACAAGGGAGAAAGGGTTGGGAAACTAAGAAAAGCCACCAGAAACTTGTGAGGAATGCAGACACTGGCAGGGAATGAGGTATTAGTAATTCCTTTTCTGATCTCAGTTCTTAGAGACCACAAAGAAGAAGAAAGAAATAGTAACTGTTAAACCTTGGGAATAAAACAATACAGAGGACTGAAAACTTCCTGGGATACAGACAAACTTGGAATTGTTACTATTTCTGGGGAGAGAAGTAGGGTGGGAGGATGGGATTGGAAAGGGCTCCAAAGGGACTTCAATTCTTCTCTGTAATGTTTTGTTTCTTCAAGAAGAAAAAATATTTTTTTATTCATTTATTCACATGTGCATACACTGTTTGGGTCATTACTTTCCCCTGCCCCTCCACCCTCACCCTCTCCTCCCCAACCCCCCTCACTTCCAGGCAGAACCTGTTCTGCCCTTATCTCTAATTTTGTTGAAGAGAAGACATAAGCATAATAAAAAAGACAGAGTGTTTTTGCTAGATGAGTTAAGGACAGCTATACAGAGAGATTCCTAGCAATGCTTCCATGTACAAATGTGTTACAACCCAAGTTGATTCATCTCTATCTGATCTTTACACTGGTTCCTGACCCCTTCTCATGTTGACCTCTGTCGCTTTAACGTTTCTGTATTAAATTCCTCTGGAGTGGGGACATCAAACGCTTTCATGTTTTGGGTTTTCTACCTATCCCCATACTCCCATATGTGCTCTCCCCTTGTCATGTGACCCAAGTCCAACCACATTGCTGTGTTTACCCTAGATCTAAAGTCTGCATATGAGGGAGAACATAGGATTTTTGGTCCTCTGACCCTGGCTGGCCTCACTCAGAATGATGTTCTCCAGTTCCATCCATTTACTTGGGAATGATAAGATTTCATTCTTCTTCATGGCTGAGTAAAATTCCATTGTGTATAAATACCACATTTTCTTAACCCATTCGTCAGTAGTGGAGCATCTTGGTTGTTTCCATAACTTGGCTATTGTGAATAGCGCTGCAATAAACATGCAGGCAGGTGTGTAGGTGCCTCTGGAGTAACTTGTGTCGCATTCCTTTGGGTATACCCTCAAGAGTAGGATTGCTGGATCATATGGCAGATTTAGATTTTTAAAAGCCTCCAAATTTTTTTCCAGAGTGGTTGCACTAGCTTGCATTTTCACCAGCAGTGTATGAGGGTTCTTTTTCCCCACATCCTCGCCAACACCTGTTGGTGGTGGTGTTTTTGATAATGGCTATTCTAACAGGGGTGAGGTGGAATCTTAGTGTAGTTTTGATTTGCATTTAAGAGGAAAATATTTGAAGGAAGAAGACTATTAATATTTCTTAAATCTAAGTGGTGGGCACTCAACGTGCTTATTATGTTATTCTCTGCATTTTTCTCTATGTTTGAACTCTCTGTGTGTGTGTGTGTGTGTGTGTGTGTGTGTGTGACTTGAAACAAATAGGCTGGTTTTCCAGTCAATGAAATGCAAATGTGCCCAGATGGAATTATTAACAGATATACGGAAAGAATGCATCTTCCATGACAGGATTAGCCAATCAAAGAGACCCAGAAAAAGGAGGCAGATCAAATGTTGTCAGTGCACAGCCAGGCACTGTGCAAAGTTTAGATAGCTTTCACCTATGAGCCCAGAGTGTTTGTCCCACTGTCAAAACTCCATGGGAAGGGGATCATGCAGGTGGTTTCAGGCAATGGACTTGAGGATTAGGACAATAGGTATGTGTGCACAGCAGGTAATTTTCCAAGAGTCCTAAACATTCACTTATTTAAGTAATCTCATTTTCCAATTCCATGTTCCTACAATGGAACACGTATTGACCCACTCAGATATAATTGGTTAGAATTTGGCCTCCTGGATAACTCCAGGTACAGAGAGAGTGCTTTCAAGCAAACTTGCTAGTGAGCCAGGTGTTTTGCACTGTGCATTAATACACTCACATCCTAAGTAAGACTGAATATCCCTTGTAAGCTTGCTTATTATGGGAAGCTGCTCTGATTACATAAACTTGAAGTGTTTGATGTTTTTAACAGTTACTTTTTACTGAAAATGAAAGAATCCATTTAGCCTACTGACAAATGCAGGCCTAGGAACCCATGAGGATCTGGACAGCCCCTGGAGTGTATCACATTTACCACGTTAACAGACGCCCGATGCTACTTCTTAGAAGTCAGCTTTCCCTGACTTCACCGTCACCCTGGGAAGAGGAGGAAGCAAGAACAATTTCCACACCCTTTTAATCCAACACATGTGTCCACAAGTTCATGTGATTGGTCCCACTGACCCCCTACTGCCTTGAAGAGGCACATGAATGTTGCTGATCAATGAGTTCCGAGATGCAACCTCCCCTGAGACTGGCCATTAAAGGAGGGGGAGGAGGGAGAGAATAGCATATAACCTTGCATGAGCTGCCTCCTCCTACCTCCCTCTTCCTCCACTGGTTTCCATGGCAATGGGTAGCAGATGGAGAACTGCCTGCGGTTCTTTCCTTCAGCCTGTCAGCAGAGCAGGAGCTGCAGTTCTCAGCTAGGGATGACCCAGTTTCCTGGAACCCCATATTGATGGGGAGCAAAGAGAAAACTGTGCCCAGGAGAGCTGAACAGCCACGTCTGCTTGTTTGCCAAGTTCACTGAGGGAGAAAACTGAGCCCACGGTGGAGACAGAGCTCCAGTGCTGGTCACTCTGTTCAAAAGGACTAACGTGCAATCCCAACAGCACCTGCAGATTGCTGCTACATGTGCTCTTTCATGTCTCCATAGCCCATGGGATGATGTTCCACATCTTCTAGAGCCACTCCTCCCTCTAGAAGCCTCTCTGCCCCACAGCTGACCAAAAGCCATTGAAGCTTTTCTGGGGTTTAGCTGCCCCCACTGCCTAACGTTCTTTAAAAAGTCACATTAGACCAGTCCTGAACAGAAAGTGACAGCAGCCAGAGGGGCTGTCAGGAACAGTGGCTGGCAGCGCTGCCCTTTGACCATAGATGGCTATTCTACCTTTGGTTAAATTGCCCAGTGGTCACTTCTGGGGTCTGGCACCTGGGAGAGGCCGACTTCATTGTAGGGAGGTAAAGTCCATATGGGAAACTCTCTCCATCCCACGTTTAGAGCTGGGATGTCTTTGCAAAGAGATGAGGTTTTCCTATGGGCTATTTTCTCATGGGAGCCTCTTCTCCACAGGAAAGATGGGCAGCCCTTAAGAGTCCAGGTATGAGAAAAGGGAAAGTGGTTTCCCTTTCTAACAGAGGCTCTGCCAAGTTCTGACACCAGTCAGTGGTCAGAGCTCAGGACAGAATCCTTGGTTTGGAAAGAAGGGCACCACATCAGAGAGGTCCTATGCCCATCTTCCCCATGGTCTCTGGTTCTGCCCACTGCTGTTTGGGGGAAGAGGGGAACTCTCTCCACTCCCTATAACACCCTGCATCCCTGGCTTCCCAACTGTGTTTTTTTTTTTTTTTCAAAATAGTCCATTAAAAACGATTGCAAGGGTATCCCTGGGCACTTCCATTGGCAACCCTGCTAGGGCCGATCTCATTCATGACATCAAGAGGAAGGCAGGTGGCTCGCCATTGAGTGCTGCTCTGCCAGGCCAGCCAGAAGAGGGCAGATAGGACAGCAAGAGGGTCATGCAATGAGCTGACTCATCCTGAAACAAGCAATCTCCCATTCTGTCAATTGAGTCCTAAAAATATCACTCGCCACACCTCTCCCTGTCTGAAAAGCCCTGTCCTCACAAAGACCCTCTAGGGCTCACATCTACAGTTGGTGAAACAGGCTCATGGAGGGCAGGTTCCCTCCCAAGGACACACAGCCAGGGTTGGGAATATTGGGGGCCCAGTCCACCTGCTAATAAGTCTTCCTGGGGCTACAAACTGATGGTGTGCTCGGTGAACCCACTACTACCTTGTTGTCTACAAAACTACCATTTGTCTTTTTTACCTCTTGCTTCTCAACCAGCTCCCCTAGAAGGTTCGGTGGCCACCACCACTCACCATCCACCCTGTCCCTTACCAGTTAGGGGACTGCATAATGGGCTCCCTGAATATCACCTTGGGGTTGCTCTGGCTATTCAGGTTTCCTTGTCAACAGTCCAATTGGCCTGCTCCCCATGTTTCTCTGTCCAAATTTGACTATGATCCTGGTCTTTGCAAACCCCCATCTTCACTTCATTCTACCTTCTCACAAAATGAATGAATGAATGAATGAATAAATAAATAAATAAATAAACCTATCTTTGTGTGTTCACTGGCACAGCTAGGTGTAGCAGGCACACTGGGTAACCCAGGACACGCGAAGGACTTTTCTCTGCTGTGTGACAGTTTCTCCCTCTCTAGCTGACAAGCCCAAGCAGCAAACTGTCTTGAGCTCTGGTCCCTAAGAGCTGAGTGGTGATTGTTAGCCAATGGTGATAAATTTGCCAAGACACAGAACTGACTCTAAGTGTGATACCGGAAGTGTAAGGAGGTGCCAAAGAAGGGAAATAGGGCAGGAGTTTTAGAAGGACAGGCTCAAAGCCACCCCTGGACTCATAGCCAGCAGGGCCAACACCATCACCTATGGACCCTGTCAAAGCCATCTTCTGGGCCCACTTCTCAAAGGACATCACTCACCTGTATTTCACATGCAGCCTGCAGGTGGAAGACCTTATAAAACGCCTCCTCTACGGTGTCACCTAAAGCAACCACACCGTGGTTTCTTAGCACCAATATCTGTGGAGGAAGAAGTAGCCAGCCTCAAACTTTTGGAACTCTACTCTTAAGAGAGACTTTTCATTTTATTGAGATCAATTTCCATTTTCAATGCCAGAGCACCTCCCAGCAACTCCTTGTTTATTTTTCCTAATCAAATACCCAAATGCTACCCTACATGTGATTTTAATCCAAGGCATCTACCCTAAGAAACTGAAAATGTGTTTTGTTTTTGTGATACTGGGGGTTGAACTCAGGGCCTTGTACATGCTAGGCAAGTGTTATACTACTTGGGCCATACCTCCAGAAATTTTTTGTTTGTGTTTTGTTTTTGAGACAAGGTCTCACTAACTTTAGCAGGGCTGGCCTTTAACTCATGATCCTCCAGCCTCTTCAGTACCTGGGATTATAGGCATGAGCCACTATACCTGGCTAAAAAGGCATTTTTAAACTGAGAAGATATGGCTTGGTTGATTCCTTTGGGCAATGCCTGGGTTTGGGGGCCCTGGAGAACTCAGAAGTCTGAAAAACTGGTGTATGTGTTGAAGTGAAATTATTTGATGTCCAATACAAGGGTCCAACCTAAAAAGCAATCCTTTGCTCTTGTAACTTAGTTGACCTGAGGGTCAAAACCCAAGAGGGCAGTTCTCTGAGAGGTGACTCTGCAGAAAGAAGCAATCACATCACCAAACTGGGCCTCTGGTTTTCACTCCATAAACTCAGCAAGGCCCTCCAAGATCCCACAGTTCTGTGACAGAGGCTACTTGGCCTTCTAACCTAATTGGTTTACAGATAAGGAACTGAAAGTCTCCCAGCTAATTAGAGGCAGACTCTGAACCAGAACCATGAGCTCTCACTATTGGTGCTATGTTTTTGGGTCAGCTGAGAGCAGGCAGATAGAGGGGTGGGAAGACCAGAATTCAGTTTACACCAAGAGCAGGATGACCAAGTGTTATTTTCCTTCCAGAAACTTTCCGTGGTTGGTTTTACCCTCAAGAGCTCTCTGAAACCAGACAATGCCCTTCTGGAAGCTGAGACACAGATCCACATATCGGGTCCGTCCTTGCAGAGCCTGGGCTGGGGCCTCGGGGCTCAAAACATCACATACTCTCTTGCTAAAAAAAGACAGCCAGAGTTTTTCTTCTCAAATACCACAGAAATAGAAAAAGATTGTGACTCTAAGACCACAGAATAATGGCAAACAAGAAGTACCTTCTCTCTCCACTTCATGGATGTGGACACCTCATCCTAGCACTGCTAATGACGCTCTGGAGGATGTCAGGAGGGAGTGGCAGGATTTCTCACCCCAGTTAGAGATGCGGGAGACAGCAACTCAGATGGCAAGTGACTCAGGCAGTGAGTGCCTTGCCAGGATAGCAGCAAGTGACCACCAACACAACTTGGTTTTGAAGCTCTTCCATACAGAGCCGAGCACCTCCAATTATGCAGTTATAAGACCATGCTTTAGACTTAAGTCAAGCAATAATGAGGTTCCATTTTTTTCTACAACAAGTTGCCAATGAATGAATGTAATAATACTCAAGTGTAGGGAGACTGCAGGGAAAGAATTCTCCATATTAGACATGGCAGAGAACAATCTTTATGGGGGCAAGATGAAGTTAGAGTTCTAAACTGTTCATTCCCTAGAAATCTGTTCTAAGAAAATCACCCCAAGCACACAAAATTCATCACAGTTTTGTTTCTATCAAGAGAAAATTGGGGGGTGGAGAGAGCAAACAAATCTGATGTCCAACCGCAGAGGACTGCTCAGGTGAGTGGCAGCATAGCCATTCACATAATGAATAGTGACAGAAAATATTTAATGATGTGCAAAGGTGTTTAGTATATATTGCTAAGGGAAGAAAGGAGAACTTAATTCGCCATCCCAGTTTTATAAATACATGTGAATACATTGGGTGTGCACCGAAATCTCTGAGCAGTATGATAGACTTTTCTCTCCTTCTTTTTCTTTTCTTTCCCTTTCTACTTAAAAAAAAGTGATCTGCAACAGCTAAGCATTTGTCAATAAATTCATGTCACATTGGGGACCATCAGCTTTGACAATGCACTCCAGAGCATCTTCTCAGAAGAACTGAGCAAACCTTGCAGGTGGGTCCAAGGCACTTCTGCAAGTTGATTCGATCAGCTTCCTGCTCCATTTCTCCATTGAAGTCATAATAGGCCATGTCCCCCACCAGCAGTGCATTGTGGGAGACAGGAAGGAGGCCGCACTTCATGGCTGACACCTGTACGGAAAAAATGAATGCCTAAGCCTGCAGCGCCAGCCCCTGGGGAAGGCACCTTTTCTCTCTTTAGAGCAGCCCAGGCCAGCTCTGCTCTGGGGCTGGTGGGGTGGAGGGAGCAGGCACAGAAGAAAGGCCTCTCAGGCCTCTGCCTCCTCCTCCACTTGCTTGGGTCTGCTTTCACATTGTGAGCTCTAATGGCTTTCCCTCACCATTTTCACATCTATATAACAGCTGTTAGAACTGATGGAGAAAATGCACTCCAGAGAGCTCTTGCTGCCCTGTCCCCAGTCTTGCTTTTATGACTCTGTAAAGAGGCACATGTGGTGTTTTATACCAGACTGGGGTGAAGCAGGATCCAGGTCCCCAGGGATGGGCTGGTGAAGACCTTCAACCTTGGTTTCAGTGCACTAACAGGGAAGACCCCAATCACACTGAGGCAGTGTGAGTGCCAGAGACCAGGGTTAAAATACAGGTTGTAACCTCTATCCTCACCTCTTATTTAGAAAAGCAAGGAGAATGGAGAGATGTAGAAGGGTCCTCACCCTCTTTCTCTTCCTCTGTCAACCTTCAGTTCTACAGAGATGCATGCTAGACATGAATACTTCATAGTCTTGGTCCAAATTCTGGTTGGTCTGAATGCTCATGACAGCTGTGCTTTGTTGAAAAAACAGCAGGCTGGTGACAAGCCTGCTCTTTCCCTGTAGGGGTGCCATCTGGGGTCAGTAGAAGTGGGTGAGAGTTGAGGCAAGGCCCAGAACTAGTTGTCTACTGACTCTCCAAGTGACATTGCAGTGTCTTAGGCACATGAGGAGAAATGGCCAGAGACACTGGGGGATAACCTCCTCCTTCAGGTTATTCCTTCTCCTCTTCTCCAGTTTTGCTGGCTCCTGTCTTGGCTCTCAGTGACCTCAAGCAGTGGAAAAGTGGGGGAGTCCAGGCTCCCACCAGCTTGCTATCCTCTTTCAAGATATCTCCTTCCAGAGTCTGGGCTGTGTGTGTCAGGGAAGCCTGACAGGACTGAGTTGAATATAAACACAGGAGGCACTGTCGCCTGCATGAGTGGTCCCAGCTTGTGTGTGTAGCACAATCGGGATGCAGTGGAATGGACATTCCACACTTTAGCTTACACCAAGACTTTGGTAGGTAAAAAGAGGGACCAGATAAGGAGTCCTACATTGAGAATTCTCTCTCTTCTCCTTAGCCTCAGTTCCAGATCTTTCTGGAATGATGAGATTGCTACAATCTAGATGGCCATGTCTTCCCTTGGGGAGAATGTCAGAGAAATGGGTATCCTGGATCTGGCTGCCATATAGGGAGAGTGATGCTGGATGGAGGGGCCACAGGGCTGGGAGGGCCCCACTCACCGCTGCCGTGGCTGGTGTGTGCAGATGGATGACACACCGCACATCAGGTCTGGCTGCATAGATGGCTGAGTGTAGACAGAAGCCCGTGGTATCCACTGGGAAGCAGCTGCTGCCCTTCTCTACCACCTCTCCCAGGATGTTCACCTTGATCTGGGCCAGGACAGAAGAGAGACTTAGAGCCATGGGGCGAGCGAAGGCCCTCACTCCCATCCCAGCACATGGGCCCAGCACTTGCCCCAACCTGTGTTCACTCACTCCAGACCTCAGGCCTTGGTGTTGGGGGGACAATGACCTGGTTATGCCCCAGTGAGTGTACAGTCTTTAGGGGTCATAGATGGTCATAAGTCAGCAGAGAAAATTGCTATAGCAGTCTCTCTCAGACTTAACTGTGCACACGGATCACCTGGAGAGGCTGTCAAAACAGATTCTGGCTCCTAGGAGTCTGCATTTCTAGCCACTTCCAAGTGATACCCATGCCGTGGTCTATAGAGTACCACAGAACTAGAAGAGAGTTATTCTCAGAATTCTTTGAAGGTGCTATGAGGAGCACGGTTTTGTTGTTATTTGTTTTGTTTCATTTGGGGGTGTTTTATTTTGTTTTGTTTTTATGAGATAGTGTCTCCCTATGTAGCCAAGGCTGGCCTTGAACTCAAGATCCTCCTGCTACTGCCTCCCAGATGCTGGGATTAAAAGTGTGTGCCACTGTGCCTGGCTATGAGGAATCTTCAATCCCAGCAGAATAGAAGGATCAAAAGCCTTCCTAGAGGAAGTCAGGTCGAAGCCAAGCCCTTTCATTTTGGGAGAAATTTTAAAATCACACACAAAGGTAAAGAGGACAGTACACTGAACACCCATTTACCAACCATCCAGACAAGGAGTGAAAAGATACTGGTTTTATCATTTGCTTTGACTCCAAGGAGCCAAGGAGTTGCTTAAAAACAAGCAAACAATAACAACAAACCCAAAAAACACATGCTCATGTGTGAGTGTATAAGAGGGAACAAGAGAGGTGGGATGAGAGAGCAAACTGGTGACTGGCCGTAGCACTCTCTACTTAACATAGACAAGTTCACAGAACAAAGAGAAGGTTACTTCATGACTGCAAAACAAGACAAATGACCACTCCTTAATCATGTTTAAGTTCATACAAAAACAACACTGCACGAGTGCAAAAATGACCAACACTCCCCTCTCCTGGCTAAAAAGAGGAATTGTTGCTACTTTACTAACGACAGCCTGGGGCCTCCTGGGTAGAAATTGGTAAAATATCTAATCTTAGAATTGTGCTCCTACCCTCACAGCACACACTCCAAGGCTGTGCCCCCTTGGAGACCCAAATCTCCTAACACAGACCCAAAAGTCCTCCCAACCTAACGTTCTTACCAAACACATACCCCGGGTTCCCTGAGCCTCATTTCCCTACAGCTGGTGGTCACCTAACTTATTGCCTACAATTGTCTCTACACGTTAACAAGCTTCTAAAATTTCTAAAAACCATCACAACTTTGGCACATAAAACTAAAGCACCCATGGCATCCTGAATCTAGCATTCGGGCTATTTCACAAGTTATCACTAATCCCCGTTCCAAAAAGCCTCACAGACAAGATAGGGACCAAAGGAAGGAGACAGACCCTGGGGAGAAAGGGAAGACATGCCACTAGCATCGTCTGCTTAAGCAGAAGCAGAAGTAAGATGTCTGGGAAATCTTATCTTAAAAAATTCTATTTTGAGTGAATTTTACAAAATGAACAGGTTTTCAAAGTGACCTGGCCCCTGGCAGAGGCAGCATCTCTGCCACCTCAAGTGCTTTGAATCTGACTGTCCAGTGATGGCCTCTGATTTCCCTTCAGCTCAACTCCCCACTTCCTCACATGTGTGGCCTATTCAGATGCACTCTCTGGGGTGGTTCTCTCTGATCTCAGATATTCCTATCTCGTTCTTGGATGTATAACCTATTGTCACTCAAGAATCTTCACAGCCTAATAGGATAGGCACCAGCCACACAGTGTCTTTATATAAATTAGAAAATAAGTACTTTCTATGAGGATAGGGGGCCCAGGGTTTGGTGTGTGGGTGTTGCCTCTGCAAATTCAAAAAAAAGCCAAGTGCCAGGAAATACTTAGTGAATGGAGCACAGGCTAGTTTCACTCTTTCATCCTTTCTTTATAAGCTAAGCTCCCTGGTGCATTACACAAGCTGTATAACACATACAGTGGCCTTAAGTCTAGGTACACTCTCTGAGCATCTCATTTCCATGACTACCAAACCTGTATATTGAGGCTAGATCTCTTCCAAACCTAGGATAACCAAAGGCCAACTGACTTTTCCTCCTGAATGTCCCACCAGCTTCTCAATCTTAGTTCCAATTCCCATCCCCATTGGTCAACAGGCCTAGTAAGCCCACAGAATCAGAATTTTCTTCCCAGCTCATGGTAATAGCACGAGCCAGTTGTCCTGATGCCAGTTGGACTTCATTCCACTTGTAATGGTTTGGATCAGGAATGTCCTCCACAGGTCATGTGCTAAAGTTTTGGTTGCCACTGATGGTATTATTGGGAGGTAGGTGGTGGAACCTTGGAAAGTTGGCCTGATTGGAGGAAGTAGGTCACTTGGGGTCATGGCTTTCCCCTCTCTCTCACTTGCTGTCTCATTCTCTGCTTCCTGGGCACCATTAGGAGAGCAGCTCTTCTGTACCACGCATTCCTGCTGCCATGATGTTCTGCCTCACCACAAGCTCCCAAACAACAGAGTCAAGTGATGATGGAGTAAGACCCCTGAAACATAAGCTAAAATAAGTGTTTCCTCCCTTATGTTGATTTTCCTCCAGCATTTCCTCACAGCAACAGAAAGCTGACAAACACACTACTGTCAGAGTGATCTTCATACAATGGAAACCTGATCATATCACTCACCTGCTAATAATACTTCAATGGCTCTGCATGTCCAGAAGAATGAATCGAAAATGCTGACCATAGGCCTTCCATGCCACTTGTCATCTGGTCCTTACCCTGTTACCAGACTCAACTCTAGATACTGAGAACTTGAACCAGTCATCACTTGCCTGTCCTTCCAGAGCACTGGGATCCCACATCTATTGGGCTTGGTGCATACTGCACTCTCACCAAGGACATGACACCTCTGCTAGACCTCTCTGTGCCAGCTGACCTAAGTCTGCTTATCCTGCTATCCCATGAGGACTCTAATTCTATGCCATTGTTTCAATTAGAAGCCTCTTCCCTTACCCCTTTCACCTCCTACAGCTCCTGAAGGGGTGGGGTGTACTTTCCCTGGGCTCTCCAAACTTCCTTCAGCTCTACCAGAATACTCTTCACTAAGTTTGAATTTCTACCTTGCCTGTCTCCTCCACCAAACCATGAAGGCTTTAAAGACAGAGCCTGTATTGTCCTTGTCTCTGTGGTCCCAGTTCTCACTTGGCCGTCATCTCCTTGGCTCGTTCTCCCTCTCTGGGAACAGTGTCCACTCCTGCCCATACTTGAGCTCATGACATAGTCTGTGGCTTTGTCAGATAGGACTTGTGATTAAATATCTGGACTCCAAACCTGACCATGTTTTGAGCCTGGAAGAGGTCCCTGAGGTGGTGTCCTTCTCTCCCAGGGACATGGCATAGCAGCCATAGCCCACACAGCTGAGGAGGACTGAACCTTTCTGCTTCAAGATAGTCCTTTTACTGCATTCCTCCTCCCTATCTGAAATCTTTCCCTATCTGCACCTCTTTCTTGAAGTCTCTTCCCATCCAACTTAAAAGAAGCAGGCTGAAGAGGATCCAAAAACAATCTCTGGCCCTGAACCAGACAACTTTTACACTGCTTTGCTTCTTGTTCCAATGTGCCCCCCATCCAGGAAGGCCCCCTACACCAATCCTCTGTGGTCCAATTGCAGGCTTAGTCATTCTGTAAGTCTGCTCCAGGCCAATCTCCTCCCTGTGCCCCAGTGCTATGCTTGTTGCCTGCACCTTGCATTTATTCTGTCTCTTGATGCATCACGCTCTGGGTACTCAGCTCTTGCCATGTGTCTTTCCTGTCCCACTAGGGACAGAACAACAGTGGCTAATTTGAAGGTCACTTGCCACTGTAGGAGCAAAGGGGTGGTATCAGCTCAATAAGGAGTAGGCAGTAAGACACTGGACTGTACTCACCAGGCTGGATGCAGTGACTTCACTGCAGGAGACCCCCTTAGGGCTGATCAGAAAGTGGTCCTGCTCCTTGCTGACTCTTAACTGGAAGAAAGACACACATTCTGAAGGACAAATAGGGAAATGGGATATTTCCAAGAATACTATGTTTAAATCCTTTCTTCTTTCACCTGAATTGACTCTGACATCTTCCCCCAGTAAACTCTGTCCCAGGGCAGAGGAAATGGAGCTACAAAAGGAATCTCACAATGTTCAAAAACTACCCTAGATACAGGATCTGGGAGTTCCTGGTCCCCATCCAAGGAAGTTCCACTAGGTAGGTTGTCTATTTTGATGACCACAATGGTTCTATATATTTTGATCAAAGGCCATTAATAATACCCTGGTCACATCAAAGATTAGGAGTTCTCCCTTTGAATTTTGTGGGGGCCACACATAGTGCCCCACCCCACTCCAACGTGTTCTCCTCACCGTGACGTAGGTGTCACTCAGCTGGGCCCAGCCGTAGAGGTCCAGGAGTCGGTAGACACTGCTGATCTTGCACCGCATGAGTCGCTCCCCCTTGGCCAAGTTCAAGGAGTCAGCAGTGTGGAGGTCATTGATCGGTGTCATCATGGAGAAGTCTGAGGGACAATGGTGGGGACAATGCAACTCTGTTAGAGTCAGGAGCTCCCATTGGTCCGCCCACTCCTTGCTGCAGGCTTCTCCCAAGCTCACTGGTACTACAGCTGAACAAGAAACATCTCTAGGTGGGGACTGAGCATTCTTTTACCCTTACCCAGTTGGAGAAAGTCCAAAGAATGGATATTCGTGTCTAATAAAGTCCTCTGCTATTTGAGTGAACAGGTGGCAGAGCTCAGTGGCAGAGTATCTGCTTAGTATGTGTGTGGCCCTGGGTTTGATCCCAGCACCATATAAAAATAAAGTCAAGGCCTAGTGGAGTAGCTCAAATGGTAAAGCACCTAACTTGTAAGCATGAAGTGCTGAGTTCAAACACCAGTTTTGCCAAGAACAAAAAACAAACAAAATAAAAATAAAGTCAAAATAGGAACTGCAAACTATCTAGAAATTAATAACCGAAGGAAATACTATGTATCAAAATTCATAGGATAAGGCCAAATCTATACTTAGAAAAAAATGCATAGCCTTAAACAGCTTTATCATTGAATTAAATAAGAAAATAATCAAATGCATTTTATTTTATTCTAGAACAAAATACAAATAACAAATCAAAGTAATAGAAAAGAATAATAACTGTAGCTAGGCACGGTGGTGCGTGTCTATAATCCCAGCATTTGGGAGGCTGAGAGTACAAGGTTTGAGGGCAGGCTGGGCTATTTAGTTAGACCCTGGCTCAAAACAAGCAAAAAATTAATAAACATAAAAATCAAAACTATAACTAGAAATCAGAAAAAGTGATAAGAACCAATAAATCCAAGAGAATTAGCATATATGAAATCTGTGAATAAACAAACATCTGAACTGGTCAATGAAAAGAAATGTACTGCAGCAGGAAAGAGAACAGGACATCACTGCACTCACAGCACTTTTAAATAATGAAAATAATATTCTAAATCACTTTCGTAATTTTGAAAAGATCCATGAGGTGGACTATTTAATATAAAATATATGATCAATATTTACTAAAGAAGCAGCAAAGTCAGCTTTTAAAACTCAAGGTGAAACTGAGGGGAAAAATGTCAAAAATCTCTAAAAATGTTCCAGATCTGAGTGTTTTTTGCAAGTGAGTAATATATCAAGGAGGGGACTTCCTATCTTATTTAAACTCCATCAGGGCAAGAAGAAAGGTGGGACCCTGGTTTCTGTTGAAATTATAGCCTTAACGCCAAGACTTCTTAAAGACTATCCAAGACATGAATGCCGAGTAATCTCCTGTGTGAACATGGATGTGAAAATCCTTAATAAAATCCTAGCAAATCAAATCCAGAAGAGTATTTTTAAAAGAATGCATCAAGACCAAGAATTATTTATTTCAGAAATTTAAAAAAGAGTTCAATATTTAGCCATCTATTACTATAGCTCATCACAATAATTGTTCAAGGAAAGAAAGATCAGTAAGTGCCCAAAATGCACTTTATAAAACTCAACATCCATTTCTGAGAAGGACCCATTAATGAACTAGAATGAAAAGACATTTCCTTAACATGATAAAGAATAATCATCTCAAATTCTGTGGTAAAAGAGTTTCCCTTAAAGTCAGAAACAAGACACAAATGATTATTCTCTAATCTATTATTAAACATTGTTCTGAAAGTTCTAGCAGATGAAATAGGAAAACTGGAAAAATAAATCAAAGGGCAAGTGTTGGAATGATGAAGACATAGTGACAATTATTGACAGATTATATGATTTTCTATATCCAAAAACCCAAGAAAATTAATGTATATTAATCTCCAAAAGAAAACTGAATAGAGGATTCATTTAAAATAAAAAGGTTACATAGTTTCTGGATAAACTTAAGAATTAGGGACCATTACTAAGCTTCTCTGGTGGATAATAAAGAAGATTTAAGTCTAAAAAAATCCCACATTTCTGAAAAGATTTAAAATCCATTTATGTAAATATTTTTAAAGTACCTCCCATGTGCTAGTTGCTATTCTCAGATATAGTGCTCTAGAACCAAACATACAAATTTCACCATGGAACTTATATTCTAGTATAAAATTATAAATTTATAAATTTTCCACCAAGCCAACCTATTCATTTAATGCAATCCCAATCAAAATTCTAAAGCAAAATTTTGAAGGTAGATGGGTGATGGAGCTTAACAAAAGTGATTCTAAAGTTATTTTAAAGAATAAATTTGTAAAAACAGGAAAAATTATCCCTTTGGATGAGAAGACATGGGGGAGGTGCTTCTAGGCAGGCAACCAAAAGCAGAACACACAAAGGAAAACAACAAAGGAATTTGATGACATTAAATTAAAGAATTCTGCAAGACAGAAAACACCATGAGAAAAATTAAAAGGCAAAACTGGAAAAATGATTGCAATATATTTGACATATAATAATAGTGTAATTTATAAAGATTTGAAAATCTATAGGAAAAAATGCACCATAGGAAAACTGGCAAAGGATGTGAATAGGTAAGTTATTGTAAAAAGAAAATCATGTCCAATATGTACATAAAATGTGTAACAAATCTGACTTCAATAGTAAGAAGATAAATGCACATTAAAACACCAAGTACAGGCTATTGTTTGTCAAGTCAGGAGGATAAAAGCAAATGGTAATAGATAGCAGGGTGTGGCAGAGGAAGGGCATACTTCTATTCTCCTCTAGGATGGAGAAAAGATATAATTTTCCATTATGCATAAAAGTCTTTAAACATGCACATACTCTGATCCTCCAATTCTACTTCTTGTAATTTATCTGAACAGAATAGTTTGGGATATCAGCTCAGATTTATTTTCGAGGATGCTTACTGTATTGTTCATAAGAGCAAAAAGCTAAACACAACTTGAAAGTCCAATAACGGAAAATTGGCTAAACAGCATGCTTCCACCAAAAATTATATGGCAGAACTATATTTTATTATGTGGAAATTAATGGGCCTGCTATTAAAATTAGATGTATTGTGATTATATTTTTGTTTGCATAATCTATATATGTTAAAGGAAAATGTGTGAAATATACACCAAAATACTGATAATAGTGATTTCTGAGTTTTAAGTACACACCAGTGATTTTTGCTGCCCTTACTTGAATATTTCCACAGTCATCCCATATAACCATGTGGAGGTAGAGAATTTTTTGATATTTGTTTTTAAAGGCTGTGGGCAGAGCTTCAGAGACCAGGAGGGTGTGTGTGTATGGGGGAGGTCATGCACAGACTTGGTTGTTCTGTGCACCTATCTATGGTGACAGTTTGGCATGTGTAGTGGGGCATGGAGACACTGGCTTCCATGGCCTCCGGTGATCCCTTGAAGTCATCTCCACCCTCCCATTCCTGGCATCAGGAATAATTCTCCTATGACTCTTTAATCCACAGCAACATCAGAAGCAGAGCCAGGCACCTCCCTGGCTTCTGCTCAACTCCCCCAGGCCTGCTAATGCAACTGCAAGCTTGCACTGTTGCCTGGCAACCAAGCTGCTTCTTGCTGCTGCTTCTTCCTCCGGTCCCCACCCCTCTCCTCCTCCTCTGCTCCTGGCAGCACTCATGGAAGATGTCACCCACATACTCATGGAAGATGTTGGGAAGACTGCATGGGAGGTACTGGCCATAAAGTCCGCGATCTGCCGCAGGGCCCAGATGTTGGAGGAGTTGTTGCCTTTCTTCATCTGCTCCTGGATGAGGCCTTCCAGCTCCTCCCTGAAAGACTGAAGCAGACCCCGAGGTGCTGCTCATCTCAGAGCCTCTCACATGGGTGTCTGAGGGCTCCTCAACCCCAGCTGCTGGACGATGAGCTCCTCCCAGTGCCCACGCCCACCCTTGGGTCAGCTAGGCCAGAGCCATGCTTGGGACTCCTGGGCCCCAGGGGTAAGTCCATCAGACCTCAGGGACCTCCCCAACTTGCTGCATAAGGTGCATCAGACATGTGAATGATCTGTGCTCCCTTTGCCCGGTGCAAGCACCAGATTCCAGGTCCTTTCTGCATCTGTATGATGGCCAAGACCCACCTCCCTCGTCCCACATGGCAGGACTCTACTTTAGAAATTAAGGACACTTTGAAAAGCAGAATTAAACAAGAAAGCATGCCACCTTCCCTCTTCATTAGCCACACCTATGGCTCTTCTGGGCCTGTTTCCTCATGCTTAATTAAAGGCTAAGAGAAAGAGCAGAAGGATTTGATGACCTATGAGGTCACTTCCCCTTTTGATGTCTGTCTCTAACTTTTCAGACCACCAGACCATAAACTTGGGATCCTGGCCACCAGGTGGCAATAGGAAACACTTGAAGGGAATGGGGAGCTGTTAGATGTTAGGGATCCTATAACAGGACAGAAAGAAGCATGACTTCTCCAGTCCCCACCTCCTGCCTGAGGCCGGGAAATCTGGCTGGGCTGTCTAATTCTGCCACCCCTCCTCATCACACTCTGGGGGACTTCCCAGAGACTCTTCACCCCAAAGCCTTTAGCACCTGCCGTTTTCCTCCAGGATCCCACACAATGCCACCTGTTCCCTCCCACTTCTCTCTTGGGGCCTGAGCATTCGCTGTGTGCACTTAGCCAGGATTGCACACAGCCCACATAGGTGGCCTGCTCCCTGAAACCCAGTGGGGCTGAAGCAGAGCTAGACCCACCCTCCTAAGCACATCCTGCCAAGTACCTGGAGATGCCATCTTCCTCCCTGGGCTTCCCAAACCCTTAGGATCATGCACTGTTTCCTACAGGGCCCAAGCCCTACACCTGCACTCCTCCCTTGTCTCCCTGTATACTGCTTTTCTTCCCACCCAAGGGCTGGCAACACCCTCCTGCTTCTGCACTGGTCCATCAGACCACCCTGTCCTTTCCCATGCCTCTAGGATGAACTCTATCCATGCCAGGCAGACACCACCCAACCTCAAGTCTGGGGAGACCTAGGTTGATCCCAAGCTGGCCTCCCTCAGCCCCTATCCCAGAGCCCCTGTGCCTTGCCCCCCTCACCCCTGCCCCTTGCATTGGAGCTTTATTTGCCCTAAGTGGGTTCTCACTTCGTGATGTTCTGTAAAGGGAGCTCCAAGACCGCGGGAGCGCCCCCGACTGACCTCCAGTTCACATGGCTTTGTTCATCGTTCATGGAAAGTGAGGCTCAGAAAAACTCAGGAAACTGGCAGGAAGGGGGAAAACTGACTCCCATCTCTCTTCCACTTCTTAGCCAAACTGCCTGCACACACCCAGATTTGGCCATCACCGGGGACTAGGGAAGGAATCAAACACCTAAACGGCTACCAGCTCTGAGCAGGGACAGGAGCTACTGGTCTTTCAGGTCCCGTGGAGAATCAGCCCACGCACCCGCCCATCAGCTGGGTTGGACTCCACTCACAGGACTCTGCAGGATCATGGTGACGCGCTTCTTCTGCTCCATCAGGTTGAAGTCCTGCCGCAGGTCTGCTGCACGGTTGCGAAGGCGCAGGTACTCGGGGTCATCCTCAGAGAAGCGGTCAAAGTAGTGCTGCCCCTGCGGGGGCGGCGGGGAGGCAGCCTCAGGGGCAGTCTCTTCACTCATTTTCCTGCTGGGGGTGCAAACCTTTCCCGGTACCCTGTGGAGAAGGGGCAGGGTGAGCTGAGTGCAGAGGGCTAAGAAAGAAAGCTAAGGCAGAGGTGTGGGTACAGTTGAGTTCATAGTGGGCTGTGGCCATTCCCAGGAAGGTGTAAGTGAACTGTGGTTAGAGGGCAGAACGCCTGCAGCCACCGGGTAGGCTGATGGACAGAGGGCAATAATGCATCATCAGGCCCAGTGAAAACCAGGGCCTGGCTTAACTGGTCACACTGGGGCTGAAGTTTCCCAGTGGAAATGTAACTTGATCACCGTTTTGAGCTTTCCTGTGGTGCATACCTACAAAGTGGAAGCTATTTACCGGGAATCAATACTTCATCTAAAATGTAAACCTGCTATAGAACTGGGGTGTGATTGAGTATTTGCCTAGCATGCAGAAGGCCCTGGGTTCAATCCCTAGCACCAATAAATAAGCAAACACCCTGTTGTAAGCCTCCTTAAAAAAATCATGGTGGAGAAGTTCACAAAAGAAAACTACTACTAAAATGTGGGAAATACTTTTCTTTAGAATTTGGACTTTGCTCTGGACCCCAGAAAGGAATTACTGGTGAATCTGCTTCTGTAAAATGTATCATAATGCAGAATCAGATTCTTATTCTAGGTTTAAAAAGAGGTATTCCATTTTATTAAAGGAAATTTTATTCTCTTTTAGATCTCACTAAATATATATTGAGAAACAAAGGATAAACACTGTTTGGAGGGGCCATGTTGTCAGGCGTCCAGAGTCCCACACATTAAAGCTGTGAGGACAAGGGCAGTCTTGGGAGAGTCAAACTGGAGGAAAGCCACGTGTTTTTTTTTGTTTGTTTGTTTTGTTTTTTTTACCTATGGAAGCTTGCTTTTTAAAAATGTACAAATGAGGAATGTCTTGTGTTGTTATAGTGCTACAGTGGGTTATAGTGGAGTCCTTCTGAGGGATGAGGCTGCAGTTCTGGCCCTCACTTCCCGGCCATGGGACTTGGGCTGAGACCAGTCTCCTGTTGAGTGCCAGCTCTGCTAGTCCTTAGTCTAGGCAATGCCTCTTTGACACCCAGTTCTTTAGTCTGACTCAGGACAAAGAGCAAAGGAAGGCACATACTTTGACACTGATAATGAGCTTTTGAATGTAGCTATGAAGATATAAAAAGGATTAAGAGGAACTGGTATACTGGAGCTCATTTATAACCTGCCACACCCTTGCTTTGCCTCTACAAGCCACTTCTGGGAGAATACCCCTGCTCTCCTGGCCCTGATCTGCATATGACCATCAGCTGACTAGTCCTACTGTTGGGGTACTTTAACTTGCAGCCCACCTAGCCTAGAAATCAGCTATAACCGGCATGACCCTTGGGTAACCTTGTGAAGAGGAAGATAGCCTTGAAACAGGGTGGTAAAACATGGTAAACTGTCAATTAAAAGCTGTAATCTCGGACAGAGCTGTGAGGAATTGCTCATTAGAGCCATGCAAAAGTTCGGGACCCAGATGAAAGGCACCATGCAGAGATAAGCACCCATTCCTGCCTTTCTTTGTCTCCACTTGTAAATAAACTTTCCAAAGCAGGACTCCCCTGCTGTTCTTATCTAAACCTTAGGTTTCTATTCCACTACTAGCCCCTAATTTATGGGAAAACGCATTCCTTGTAACCTGATAAGTAAGCCTCTGGTGTTTCCCCAGTTCCCAATAAATAATATCACCCCACCACCAGGATGTGGGCAAGATCAGGAAAATGTGACCCCAGGGGCATGAGGAATTCCTATGTGACAATGATCGATGCTTTAAAGAGTATAAGAGCTGCTTAAACTTTTCTCTCAGGGTCCTTGTTGAAACCTGCTGCGTCAGGCGGATGCTTGGACCCTAGCTAGCTAGAAATAAACCTCGCCTTGTGACTTCCTTTGTCTCGAGTGTCCTTTGTCCTCTCAGGAGGTGGCCGGCCTGTCCCCTAACACTACCTCCCTCCAGCCTTGTTCCTGCAGCCCTGTATGCCCAAGCCTTAACCTTCTGAGCTCACCAGCGGCTCAGACAGAGGAGGCCTTGCTAAGGGCCAGTAGCCCATATTCTTGTTGTCTCTGAACTTCCTGTGACCTCTTCGTCCAATTCTGTCAGGACTCTACCCTGTACCCTTACAATCTCTTTCAGTGGGGTGACGCTATGGAAAAGACCAGAAAGGACAAGTAGGAATCCATCCCACTGAAAAATACTCACAGGGCTTATTGTTGTGGTTGTTGTTTGCATGGTTCCTTTTAGGGAAAGATGCATAGCAAGTTCAAGGGAAGGCACATGGTCAGAGTCCTTCAAGGGTTGGATCATGGCCTAAGCGCTTGCCCAGAGCAGTGGCTCTCAACCTTTATTGTCCACAGGAATCATCTGGGGAACTTTTTAAAACTCCAGATGCCAGAGATTCTAATATAAGTCGTCTGGAGTGTGTTTAGATATGAGGAATTGAAAAAGCTCCCTGGGTAGTTCTAAGGAGCAGCCAGTATTGAAATATTATGGGCTATATGTTAATGGTGGTGACATGTAATATAACGTAGCATCTCCTCCACGTGCTGGCCATTTCTAGCAATCATGGCAAAGATGGCACAAAGCCTCAGGTTTCTAAACTTGTACCAGGTGCCATTTGTCTCAAACCTGTCTGGACCCATTCAAGCCACTACCTACCCCAGTATCCTACCTGGGATAGCAGGAGTGCTCCATATGCCACCCTGGTCTGTTTTTGCTAGGCTGCTACACTGTGACCTCTGGTCTTAATTCTTTCACTATTAGTCATCTTATGAAAACCATTACCAATGTCCACAAAGCAGCACCATCCTTTGTCATGTTAATGAGATATCTGGAAACAAAAGATGGGGATGAGGAACTGGGTGGGGGGACTGTGCTGGGAATAGCAGGTCCCCACCCAATGCTCTAAAGAAAGCTTTTGAAACAGATTTTCAGGTTGCTAGAACAATTGCAGGTTGCACTTAGTAACATTTACATCCAGTAACATTTACACTTAGTAACATTTACATCATCTATATGGAAAAAGGGTGATTGGGCTGTCAGGCGTATTTCTGGTAGAATTAGCTCTGGACCAGAAACCAGATGCCTTCAGACTTTCCCCAGTTATGTCACTTGACAGCTGCATGGGCTTGGCAAGTCTTTTCCCCTCACTAGGTTGCACCTTATCCATCTCCAAATGAGGGAGTGAACAGAATGACCTCTTAGGCTCCCTTCAAGATCTGACACTATATGGTTTATCCTAGTTGGAGACAGATCCATGAAAAAAAGGCAGAAGGATGGAGGAGCTGGTTTTCCTGGAACAAGGCACCTCCCTACTTCCCCCAGAGCCTGTCCCTCAAGCCAGAAGCCAAAAGTGAAACACGTGCAAAGAACACACATGAGCAACTGACAGTGGTTTTATGGGCTCAAGTCAACCCCACAATGCACATAACAACACTCCATCTCCATCAGCCTCATCACTGGACCTTGAGGTAAGAAGGGACTGCAAGGTCAAACACGAGAGGGGCACACGTGTGATCACCACCAAATTCTTCTTGTCAGGCAACATGGCAGACCAAAATTCTTCCCTGGACATTGCCCCACTCAAACCCACCACTGCTCTGCTTAGTGACTCATCCTGGCAAATGATTTTCTTTGATACTTTCAAAGCCCTGAACCTTGCATGTTGTTTTAAAATAGCAAGAAGCATCCCCCCCAGTAAGTACCTTGGCTAGAGCATGAGATGTGAGCTCCCATGTTCCCTAGGACTCCAGGCCACCAGGTTCAGAACCACCGGAACTCTTAGCTTCTCCAGGACTGGGTTTGTGTGGGCCAGCACAGCCTGCCCTGGCCTCAATCCTTTTGATCCTGGCAGGAAAAGGAAGATTCTCTCCCTTTCCCATGGAGGGCTGCACTGCCCAAGAACAGGTCTATGAACAGGGGTGTCAGCACACCCCTTCCTGAAGCACGAGGAATGAAGACTTTCTGAGCTTGAAGGAGAGGAGTCCACACCACCATGGCCTTTCCTTCTTAGAGGCCATCTTTCCTTATGACAGTCTAGTCTGAAGGGCTGTTCCAGAGGTGTCCCCATGGGAGTGGTATGGCATGTGGATGCCTTGACTCTGTCACCATAACAAGAGCCTTGGCAGGTCCTTTGGCTTAGTGAACCAAGGCATCTTTTTGTGCTCCTTCTTTCCCTTCCCACAGTGCTGTGTAGGTGATCAAAATTATGTGCAGATGGCTTAGTGGTTACAAGCACAAACTCTGGAACAAGAACTGCCTGGGTTCAAATCTTAGCTATGTGATGTTGGGCCAATTAACCTAACTACTCTGTGCTTCAGTTTCCCCATATTGTAAATGGGGGTCATACTCATTTAACTATCTCAAAAGCCATTATAAGAATTAGAACTTATGACTGGGAAGTAGTTAAGGCTAAGGCAGGGCCTGGCATATAGCAAGTGCTATTATCTTTGCTCTTATTAGGTATCATTTAGGGACTAGATCATTCTAGCATTTAGAACTTGAGTAATGAGAGGCTTGTGATTCAACTGTAAACAGGTGCACACTAAATAACTGTAATTACATGTTTTAGTCAACAAACCTAATTCAGTCTTGAGCTATATTAGCAAAAAGAACATCCGGAAAAAGACTGATGAGAATGCCTAGTTTTCTGACCAGATAATGGGAACTTGTCAGCCTGGAGATCACAAGAAAGAGGCTAGGCAGGATGCTGAAGGCCAGAGGAGACCTGCATTTGTGATGGAAGAAAAGAAATTTCTGGTCTTTGACCCCAGTTCCTGGTACAGAGCTTCAAAAACCCTTGGAGGTTTTTTTTTTTTTTTTAATGTCCAAAAGATAACAGGAATGTCTTTTGTTATTCATAACAAGCCCCTTTCAAGAAAACTTAGGTTTGTGCTAATAAAGTGATTGCTGAGGGACCTTAGATAGTTTTCAGGGAGACTTGGGCCACCCCAGAAAGACCAAGCACATGGTTGAAGGAGGGAAATTCAGTCCCCCCCACCCCAACACACACACACATTCCAAGGAGGGGAAAGAGCTAGAGATTGAGATGAATCAAAGGGCAAATGATTTAATCAACTATGCCTCTGTATTAAAACCCCATGATTTAAAACAAACAAACAAAAAAACTGCACACTGAGCTCAGGGGAACTCCTGGTTGGTGAATGCATCGGTATTTTGGGAGAGGGATGTTCCCAGACTGCAAAACTCTACATGTCCTCACTCCAGACCCTACCCTATGTGTCTTCCATTTGGCTGTCTCTGACTTGGATCTTTCATAATAAAACTATGATTACAAGTACAGCAGTTTTGGTGAGTTCTGGAGTCATTCTAATGAATGAATTACTGAACCTGAAGAGGGGCTGAGGGAATGTCCCAAACTTATAGCCAAGTCAGACAGAAGTGTAGGTGACCTGAGACTCCTACCAGCTGTGGCTGGTATCTGAAGTTGGAGCAGTCTTGTTGGTTAGCTTGTCCTTTAATTTATGGTCGTTACTTAGTCCACATGAAAACTTGGACGTACAATTCTTCAATTTAATCAAATTCTTGGACAGTCAGTTGGTGACAGAGAATTGGTGACGTACAACATCATGGAACTTCTATTCATGACTTATTTTCATACCCAGCACCACTCTATGAGGAAGATATTATTGTTCCAGTTTCAAGTAAAGTAACTGAATCACAGAGAGATTAACTAACTTGTCCGAGGTCACACAGACAACATGGATTCACCCAGGACGGTGTCTGGCCCCAGAACTCCAATTCTCTGCTCCATCATACTATCCCCAAACACCTGCTAGGCCACCTTGTGGGAGAGGGATTAGGCTAATGCCCTAGAGCGGGGAAGGTAGGGCAGAATGAGGAAGCCAGGTGGTCACTGCAGACAGGAAGAATCTACTGAGGGCATGAGTGAGCACTTCCTACTACAGGAGCAGCTCAGGAATGGGAAGATGGGACAGCTTGCCTTGTCAGGCAATGAGCTCTCTCCTGGAGTCAGTTCCTACTGGATGCTTGCTGGGGATGGGACGAGGGCAGGGAGGGTGGGAACTAGCAACCCCTAAGGTCCTTCAGATTCTATGGTGGCTCTTGAGTTAGCAGGATGGAGCCTGTTCGGAGCAATGACCTCAGAATCCAGAAGTTCACCATCACTAGACCCAAGTACAAAGTGTGCATCATTACCCCATCACCTTCAAAAGCCACTGGCTACTTACCAGGAAACTGGCCCAGGCCTGTCCAAGTCTCCCTCCTCTCAGTGCTGGGTCTGCTCCGCTCTCAGGAGTGCTGGCCACATCGACACGGCCTCACACGTCCAGGTGGAAACTGGAAAACAAACATGGACACGTGAACAACATCAGGACCTTGGCTGCACCACTGTGACACCACCCGATTTAGTTTACGGATTGCTGGGAAACACTTGAAAATGAACTGCAAGGGATTTTTTTTTTAATTTTAAGCAGATTATGTCTATAAAAAGGTAAAGAAGGGCTAGGGGTGGGGCTCAAGCGGTACAGCGCCTGCCTGGCAAGTGTGAGTGAGGTCTGAGTTTAACTACCAGTAACGCCAAATAAATGAATAAATAAATAAAGGTAAAGAACTTTTTGTTACTTTTACAATTGGGATCAAAATTTCTTTTAAATCCCTGTGCTGACTGCTAGCTGAGGAGACCTTGGAAGAAGGAGGCTGCTCTGTGAGGTGGGAGGGAGCAGAATGTGGAACTCCTGAGTGTCCTGGGTGGTGGGAGAGGTAATTGGCAAGTTGCTGGGCTGGAAGGACTAAGACCTCTTCCTGAGACCACTCCCAAACACTTCACTAACAGCTACTAAACTCACAGATGCTAGTGTGCACTCACACAAGCAGCCTAAGAGCCTAAAGAATACCACACCCAGGAAAATGGGTGAGATTTGCACAGGCTGTGAATTGGTGAATTAAAAACAAATTTGCTTACAATTTCAGGGGAAAAAAGATCCCCCCACTAATACCCAGGTTGTAGGTTATAAAGTGCTCCCAAAGGAGAAATGGCAAGTCAACATTTCATATACATGGGAAAGTTACCAATGTCTTCAAAAGATTAATCATCAAAATATTTTTTAAGTGATAGCTTTCATATTCACTTGCGCATCCTGCTGTTCAGCCCCACAGGGGCTGGGATGTCTCACCCTGGTCTGGCAGCATCACTAACTCCAGCCCCCATGTGCTCCTGCCCATAGTTCTGACTCAGCTCAGCTCCATCCGTTACCTTATGCTATCCCAAGTAGAACCATTCACGTTCAGGCTTGTACCACCAATGAGGGGAAAGGAGAATGGTGCTGGTGAGTACAAGGTGTCTGTGAGCATCAGAATGGCTGTGTGCTCACTAAGGTAAGCCTCCTCATCAGCCCAGATAGGAGGCCCACAGCTCAGTATTTCACTGCCTGAAGGTCCCCGAGGCCAGTCCTGATGTTTACTCTTGCAGTTAGGGCACTTGGCATGTTCAGCACCCATTGGTACCTTTCCTCAGTAGTTTTATTTTTAACTAGAATAGAGTCACAGCCACCACTTAATGCTATGTGTCTGTCCACCACCCACCTGCATGGGAGCATTCCAGGGAAGACCCCAAGGTGGGGTTGCTGACACCCCCACTGACCTCACTAAGGATCAGTCTTGCAACAAGGCGAGTTGTCTTAGTTCAAGCACAGCTTTCTCCTTTACCCAGCAGCCTCTGCCAGGAGGATCTGAGGCTGTCTGTGGTCATAACCAGGTAAGATTTGAATTGCTAGAACCTGAGCTATTTCTTGTGTACTATTTCTTTGTCCCCGAAAGTGACATGCACCATTCATGTAAGAAGGCGGATGAACAAAATAATTCACTGAACAAAAGAATTCCAGTCACAATCTCTATCAGTGTTGAAATTCCACTATGAGACCTCCATTCCTTGGGTTACTGTGTTATCCCTTCATTACAGTGAAAATGGCCTGAGAGGTATTGGAGTCAAATGCCTTAACTATAACTATAATCTGTGCAACTGTCAAACTGTCAGAATGAGGTAGGCCAGAAGAGGCATCAGATCAGCAACTTTTAATGAGGAAAGATGCCTGATGCCCCTGGGTGGGTCTAATCTTGGATGACCTTGCCTGGGAGAACCCTCTGAGCCTGCAGTGGTATCAAGTCCACTGATGTACCCATGGCTGGGTACATCAGCCTGTGGCTTCCTAGCATGTGCCTTGATAGCTGACTCATCCAGCTTCCAGCCACCCACAGCCCTCAGCAGAGCTAAGGAGCAAAAGGCAGTGTGAGCCACTGTGCCCAAATAAGGAACCTGCACCTGACACCTCCTGGGTGGTTCAGAAAGCACCCAGGCCTCTCGTCTTCAGTGTGCTCTCAAGCACACTGGCTCTCAAGCCAGACTGTGGGTGAGAAGAGTGGGACAGAGGATTTTAGCCCTGGCTGTTCCCTAGACTGTCAACATGGACATAGAATGCTCCAGGACCTTTGCCCACCTGCAGCATCCTGAGAGGCCACCTGGACTCTTCCTTCTCTTGCCCTGCACATCTAAGCTGTGGAGGTTTCTGGTTTTATGTTCTAGATATTCTTTCACCCAGCACCATGCCCTGAATCAGCCTTCATCATCTCTCCTGCCTTCCAACACTCTCTGGCCTATGGTTCTTCTTCTCTTCTGCCCACCATCTAGTCAGTTGTCAAAGTCACTGTTCTAAAACAGCAAATGTGGCCCATGCCTGCCACTGCCCTGCTGAAATCCTGTTCCCTTCACCAAGTACAGGGTTCCGAATCATTTCTTTTTTTTTTATTCCTGCGCCTCCAGCCAAGACTTACTCAAAGTCAGATTCTATTACAAAAATGGAAGGTATTCTTACCACCTTTTCCATATACAACATTTTAATTCTGAATTTGCCTTTTCAAACCAATTCAAACTCATCAACCTGCCCGAAGGGGAGGTTGACACTGAAGCATGCTACATGAATTTAAACAAATGCAACTAAGGGTGCATTGGAAAGATGGGCCAGCTTAACAAAACAGTCCTGGGGTCTTCCTGGGCCTTGAGGAGACAGAACCCCCAGCAGCCTATTTCAGGGCAAGCCACCAGGTGTTCATGGAAGCATTTGTGCAGGTGTCCCAGTCATGTCCTCCTAAACATAGCCCAATGTCTAGGCCCCACCAGCCACTCTTCTATTCTGAGAAGAAGAATCTGATTGTACTTGCCTAACAAGCTCAGTTCCACAATGCAACACCGATCATAGGGAGACAGAGGAGAACACCCCATCATACATACACACAGCAGACACCACAACCCTCTTGGCTCTCCAAAGTTCCACCTTTTTGTCTCTTCCACCTCTTCCCTCTCCACCTAGAACCTTCCCCTCTGCTTAGGGGGCCCTCCCAGTGTTGCCAGTTCACATCCTTATACCTCTACCCCTCTTCAGCCAAACTCTGCTTCGCAATCCTCTGGTAGGAGGGCATCAGAGTTGCAAGTTGTGAAACACACTCCCTTTCTCAATAAGACAAAGTACATTTGCCCACTGGAGTATGAAATTATTACATTTCTATGGATCGCTCCTTGTGGCAGTAAAAAGAACAGGTCTACCAGGGGAGTAACAGATGCCCAAATTGCTTGGGTTTTTGGCTAAAATCTGATTAAGCTTCGTGTACCTTGAGGACAGGTGAGTGACCATCTCCTGCTGCTTCAGTAGGGGGATCTCCAGACCAGGACAGATACCCTCATATATGGCTTGGTACCCACAGCCCAAAGAGGAAAGATGCAGCTGCCCACCACTGCCACAGACACAGTCATCTCTCAGCACTGCCAGTCTCTGAAAGCTCAGCCCAGCCCCCCTCCTAGGTCAGCTCTGGGAGAGGACAGCACAGCATTGCCACAAGCAGAGGACTTGGAGTCAGAACCCAAACTCACCGATCCTTCAATGAGACTCCCACAACCGGGAGAGGAGCCAGTCATGGCTGTGCTGCTGCTGTTTTGCAGAGTAAATAGAGGTAGCGGAGTAAGGGACCTGACCACACCCTGCCTGGTGCGTTCAGATAAAGAGAGAACTTGTGTCTCTGCACAGCAGGATCATGGAGGTTGCTTATCTTCACCTCTTCACACACTCTGAACTCTCCAAAGTTCCACATCAGGTATCAGCTGCTATGATCATTTAGGACAAAAGTAGTTTAAAAAAAGAAAAGGAGGAAGGAGAGATGTGATGAAGTCTCTCTATGCCCAATTCAGGAACCCCACTGTCTGGAAGAATCTTTATCTGTCCCCTGCTACAAGCCCATGGAGTGCTGATTTCTTGGTATTCCTGATGCATACTCTCCTAGTAAAGTCCTGGAAATTTTAAAAGCCCTTCCAGCAGAGGGCCTCACTCCTAGGAGCTGGGAGTTTTCCCCAGAAATTGCCCAGTTGGGGAAGGATTGGACTCAGCACTCCTTCATCATTACGGAGTTGAAATCAGTTCCATTCCCTCTCATTGGACAGTGCAGACATTTGTCCAGTATCCACTGGTCCTCAAGAGTGAGCAAGAACTGGAATTAGACATGAGAGGGAAGAAATCTGGGGAAAATGTGATGTGATCCCTGCCTGCTAGAGACCTACAGTCACATTTGAATTTGTGAAAAACATGAATGTAAATAAAACTCACACAGATACATAATACATAGATCCAGATATGAAGTCAACTGTTCAGCCCAACACAACACAGGGCACTGAAAAAGGAGGCTGGGAATGATCTGAAACTCTGCTCAATGCTTGTAAGAACAGGATACTGCAAACTGGGTCCACATTTAGGAGAACCAAGGTCTTAAATCAGATCCTGAAGAAAGGCATTATCCAATCAGCAGTAGCTGTGAACCCCTAGAGGTGTTGGCTAAGCTGGACCTTCTCCCAAACCATGTAGTGAAAACCAGCATCCTGGTTTTTCAGCAGAGAAACTGAAGCTTGGGGAAACTGAATGGCTGGATATGAGCCACAGAGCTGGTAATGGGCAGAGCCTGGGTTTGAAGCCATCTGGTTCCAGAGCCTGTTCTCATTTCTCTTCACTACACTTTCCTCCCCTTCTTCAAGTGAAGGTGAGAGCAGCCTGGCAGAAAAGTGGGCAATGGGCACTACCCAAAGCCTGGGCTTCATATTCCTGCCAGAAACCCCAAGGATTTAGTCAGTACCACAAAAGATGATTCTGCTTCTTGTTCCTGGTACGTGGGCTCAGAGTGGGGCTTGTCCCCAACTCAAAAAGAAATAAGGGTTAGGAGGCAAGGGCAGGAGTGGCACTTCAGGTGCTCATTCTGACAAGATGGGCCATGCTTTTAAGGTAATGAGGATACTCTGGCCTCCTGTAGGAGGATAGGTGGACTGCAGTGGTGACAGGTGGCCAGGAATCACCTACATACACTATCATGGCTGCCAAGTCACTGTGCAAGGTAGGTAGAGCCCTGAATGATCTGGAATCAAAGATAGTTCTTTTACTGAACACCTAAGCACCTGGCTGTCTGCTAGGAGGTAAGGAGTATAACTCCCAAAGGCCCATGGAGGGGGTGGAGAGTAACGGGGAGACCATTATACTTGGTGGGGGGTGCCCAGTGAACTGAAGGCTCAGGAAGGCAGTGAGGTGATTCCCACCTTGAGGCTCCAGCACGGGACTTTAACCCACTCAGCAGGTGCTTCTGCCATTGACCACAAAACCACAGGGCCCTCATGCCTTCAGGAAGGGAAAGGAAGGGGCATTCCAGAAGCTCCGGGGATGCAGAGGCATGGCTAAACCTGCTGGTTCAGCCATCAAATACTCAGTATGGACTCAGTCTTCAACTGCCCAGTCCCTCCAGTGAAAAGGTCAGCGACCTTGGAGACTATGCAGATAAAAGCTCATCAAAAGGCTGTCTAATTGAGCTGAGTGTCCTCTGATTCACTGTTTCACACCTCTAGCTGTCTGGGAATCCAGTCCTACATCCTTTTAAGCAGCTGCTGTCTACCTTTTGCCTTCAGGCAAGATTCTTATCTAAAGCCAATGAAGCCACCTTTTGAAAAGTTTCAACTCAATCAAGTACAAACACAAAATCGTGATTCTTCTATTTGGCCTGATCCGAGAGCATTTGTTCTTCAGTAAGAAAGTGAAGAGCAACCCACAGAATCATGTGCCCATCCCCACACCCAGCCAAAAGATCGGGAAGTAACTATTGGACGATGTGTCCTCTGCATCTGATAGGAAATATCCTAGATCTGATAGACCATTTCCTAGGTCACCAAAAGTGGACAAAAAGGCTCTTTTGGCATGTTAAAGTCAAAGTTGTTTTGTTGGCTTCATTTTATAAGAGTTTGGGAGTAATTTTGTTCACTAACAAGAGAAAATTGTTAAAAAACAAAACCCAAAACACCTGGCATCTAGGATCGGGGAAGGGGTGGATCCGACGTCATCCCTCCCTTCTCCAGACTGGAGATGCCTGAAAATTCAGAGCTTCAGTGAGGTTTGGGACATGCCGATTTGGGAGAGAAAGAGAGTTAGCAGAAGACAGTGGGAAGTAGGGGGAATAACCATGGGCGGAAGGGTCTAACGGCTCACATGGAAACCTGCTGGCCTCTAGACGCCCATGTTGAGACATCCTAAAAGTCTGAGCAAGTGAGCTTTAGGCCATCACAGGTTATTAGGAATGAGATGGAGAAAATTTTCACTCCTCTCCCTGATGACTATAGGGTTTGCCTATACTATTTTTATCGTGAAGATACTAAAGAAAGAGTTTTCTAACTTCTTTCTATTTGAGTGTATATTTGCATATCCATGTGTCAAAGACAATGCTGAGCGGTCCACAAACCCACTTCCTCTTCTACCTAGGCACCCACATTTCCTAGCCCTTGTTCTCTCCGGATAGGACCAGATGGAATGTAAATCCCTGAATGTAGGCAGCAGTGATGGGCATCACCTGTGGCCTAGGCCATTGCTATAGTCTGGATCCAGAATGTCTCCCCAAAACCTATGTTTTAAAGGGCTGGTTCTCAGCATGGCACTATTGGAAGGTTGTAGAACCTTTAAGAGGTGGGAGGGTAGTAGGAGGTTTTAGGACATTGAGGGCTGTGCTCATGAAGGGGATTATAGGACACCTACAATTTCTTCCTCTCTTTTGTACCCAGCCATGAGCTGAATAGGCCTCCTCTGCCAGGCATCCCTGCTATGATATACTGCACTGCCACAGGCCCAAAGCAAGGCAGATGATTGATCATGGACTAAAAACTCCATAACTGGGCCAGAATAAACCTTTCTTCTTTTTAAGTCTATTTGTATCAGGTAGTTGTTACAGTAACAGAAAGCTGACTAAGGTAGCAATTAAGAGCAAAGGTGCCTTCTCCAGTCCTTTCTCAGTCCTTGCCTCCCTGTTTCATGGAAAGGCCAGAGGGATGATGCAGCCACCAAATGGAAGGTAGCCCACTGAGCATCTGATCGGAGCTTCTGAGGTTGTTGTTACAGCAGGTAGCCTACCCTGAAAAACACACTCACTTTTTCTTTAGCTCGAGATAGTTTTCTGCTAACTCTGTGGCCATTGCTCCTATTCTTCTTTGTATCTCCATCAGGGTCACCAGTTATCCGTGTTCAATCTCTGTCCTCTAAATTTATCATTTTTCCTCTCACTAGTTGTTTTTTTCAGTACTGGTGTTTGAACTCAGGGCCTTACCACTTGAGCCCTTTTTGCTTTTTAAAATAGGGTCTCCAGTTTTTGCCCTGACCAGCCTGTACTTTGATCTTTCTATGTATGCCTCCCACATAGCTGAGATGATAGGCACAGGCCACCACACCCAGCTTTATTGGTTGAGATGGGGGTCTTACTAACTTTTTGGTCTCAAACACTGACCATCTCGATCTCCATTTCCTGAGTAGCTGGGATTACAAACATGAGCCACCATGCTTGGCTGTCCTCTCACTAGTTTTATTGTTGACATTTTCCTTGCATTCTGGCAGTTTGACATTATTATATACCACCTCAATGATCTGGTTTTTGAGACAGAGCCTTGCTGTGTAGCCCAGGTTGGCTTTGGATTCACTCTCCTCCTGCCTCAGCCTTTCAAGTGGTGGGATTCAATGATTTTAATTCAGCAAAATTCATGTAAATTTTAATTCTAATATGTAACAAACATTTAATCTTTTGGGCTATTTTCCTTGCTCTAGCTCTTGTTTTGCCCTAGATATTTTCATTTTGGTTTATTTTCCCTATTGCCTCTGATTTCTTAGAAGCTATTTCTTTTCAAATGATAATAATGTTACCAAGTAGTTTGCTGACATTTTTCTTTTGGTTGCTTTGGCAGTTTATCATCAGAGGTAAGTGATTCTTTTGTCTTCCATCTTATTTATTATCCTCTGAGGTGTCTTTTCTCAAGACACTTCTGTTTTTTCTTTTACTTTATTCTCAGATAAGTTGAAATCAAGTCCCCTAAGATATGACCTCAAGGGACAGTAGGTTCTAGCCAAAGGTACTCAGGGAGCCATGTGTTTTCTGGAAATCAAGTGTGGTACACACATAATTAATGGCAACTTTTTTTGTCTCCAGGCAATTTCTGCACTAACATGGCCACAGCAATTATTCAAATGATGAGTCCACTTTACATTGGAGACACAAAAGGACAACTGTCAAGGAAGCCAACCCAATTCCAAATTCAGGTTACAAAATGGGTACTCTTTTTATAGAAAACTTAATAAAGTCCAACCAAACTCATTTTTAGGTGGTGGAGTGATTGGGCTATTAACATTAGACTTAAGGAAATAATTAAGTGAGCTCACAAACCTCAAACTATGACCTACCATTTCATAGCTTCCTGAGGTGCTATAAAACCATTGATAGGGGGAGAATGAAAGATCAACATCATGATAATAATTTGGGGTCTATTAGATACTGGTGACTCAACCCAGCCTCACTTCCAGGACATCTGCTTGAAATAATGACATGGAGGTGAGTCACACAAGTGAGCACAAGGAAGGCCTTTGATGCTGGTCTCCGAAGT